TGATTGATTAATAATGATACTAAGGTATTTAATTTTTGATTGAAAATATGAGATTATATGCAATGTAATTGTAACTGAAGACTACAAAATGGAAGCACAAAACAATTTGTAAACCAACCGGCACACTGTATGTACACACATGGAAGATAGCTTGATGTTTTTATGTTTTGTTTATGTTTGTTTTTAAAAACCAATAAAAATTTAAAAAAAGAAAGAAACTTAGTCTCATTTTTAATTAAAAGCATGAAAGTTGAATAACTATACTGTAACCAGGTATCATACTAGAGATTTGATGGATAACACACGAGAAAATTAACAAGTGTTGAAATTTAGTCTGTGGATCTTACAAGAATTACTGCCAGTAACAAAGTAAGTGAGGGCATCAGAGTGAAAGCAGAAAGTGAGAATGGTCTATTTTTTATAATAGAAAACAAAGAATGCTGAAATGACATGAAATAGACTGAGAATAAAGCTCTCTATCAGTCTGATACCAGAGTGTAAAGTAAGTCTCTATATTGCAAATGAACCAAGGCTCTGCTTCTCAAAGTTAGTAAAGATTTGGAAGATACCTCTAGAATATAGACTATCAGAACAGAACAGCTCTAAATAATTCAAAACATGAGTCAGTTTGATAGTTCAATCTATTAGATCTAAAATGGAAACTGCTTTCTGAAAAGCATATAGTCAGAGAAAGTGATCAGGACCAGAGTCAGTGAGAAACGATGGAAGCCCTGCCTTTACTCTTCCCAAAATATATGCTACACAAGCAGGTTTGCTCAAAGTTTGTTCCCTTCAGTCATTGTGATATCTCTGTGCCAGCACACAGGGCCTGTTCTAGTTCGTGCCTACGGATCCAGAAGCAGGCCTTAGCCAGCCACCTGACTGGTACAATAATGCAGCTATTCTGCACAGGAAGACAGGGTGCTTTGTGTAGTCACAGCCGCCTAAGAGCTGTTCATGCAACCCTTCTGCCTGAAAAGAAGTATTGTTCAGGATGAACCTCCCTTCAGCTTCTCCCCAACATCAGGGGGACAGAACTATTCCTAGCAGCCAAAACAGCTCCATTCAGAGTTCTCTGTATCTCCATCCCACAGTAGCTGCCAATGGGCCTGCCCACTTTAGTTCTGCAAGGGAAAACTAGACTGTCCAACATCCAGTAAATTCCAGTGTAGCTTGTGAAAGCAGGTGGATGAAATAATATTTCTGGTAATGGAAGATTGTGGAATGACTGAAGTATATGGAATATGTGGGATGGAACATGGAGACCACCCAGTAGTACTTCAAATCTAAAAACTGAAATAACTCCAAAGCAAAAGAGAGAAATCATAATGCCAGGATAAAGTCCAAATCATTTAGGAATCATGATGAATAATATATGTGGTTTATTCTTTTGAAACACATCAAAAATGAACCCAATAGTAGCATAAATAGGACTGTTAGGCAGCTCTCTGCTGTCATTTTTTTTTTGCTTTAACCATCAATATTACTATAATCCATGTTTCTCAATCATATTTATATGTGTGTATGTGCATTATAATATGCAGTGCTGAATTTGCACAGCTACTAAGAATAGAATGGTTATATCTAAGAAATCTTAATAATCTATTATGATGGCTAAACTCATCTTTGTCCTTGTAATCAATCAGGTAGATATGACATTCTCCAATTACAGCCTAGCCCTAGTCAGATTATCAAGTGTTTGTTTAAAACTGTTTCCTGATGATTAAAGCCAATGTACCCTGGGGTTAGGATTATTGTGAAAAATCAGAAGAACTGATTCTACTGGCTACAATCAAAGCTTTGACCTACCAACAGGATTAAAGAAAAGTTGTTCTAAAGCATGCTTTTGAAATATGAATGTTAGGTGTAGGAAAATTGTATCTTTACATGGCATCATAATACTATGGAGCAAAACAGGGTGTCAACTGATCAGATTCAAGATCAAACTGCAATTGTTATGATTAGGGCCTTGAATAAATCAGAGAACAGACTAATCTGAATATGTTACTTTGAAGTTTCTGTTCCAGCAAAATTGATGACAAAAATACTAAGATTTCAAGAATTTTAATTACATTTCTGCAAGGTGGTCATCTCAACCTGATGCCTTTAAGTTGGTCTATCACTCCCATTATTATATCTACAAAGGATCAGATTAGATAACACCGATCTAAAATATACTGTTAAGCAAGATGACAGTTTTTTGAAATTGTAAGAGAACTTTGAAAGGATACCCATTGTGCCTTTGTGCGAAATTTAACAGCAGACTACAATAAGATATCGCCAACCCGAAACTAAAATATAAATTTAAGACAACATAAGGAACTTGGGAAAAAGTGGAAATAACCTTTCAGGCCTCATTTCAAATATTTCTGAAACTAACTCCCAGAAATATGACGTGGAAATTTGCCACAGAATAGCATAGCATTCAAGTATTCTTCTTCTTTGAAGTTTGAAATAAAATATGTAGTCCCGTTAGGCACAAACCTTCAGTTTCAAGCAGTGATACTTTCCTACATTGTTTGAATGATTCCATGCCAGTATACTTTATGAAAAAGTTTTTCACAGTACTGAATTAAATAAGGTTCTTGGCTGTAGGTCTAAAATACGGAAGTGCTAATGCCCCCTAGGGACATAGTTTAGGATTATCAAATAATGCTTGAAAATCAGGCAGTTGCAACCACTGCCAATTCATCCAAGACAATTCATCCACGATTCATTGCTTCTTGTGCCGCTTTTGTCTCTGGGGAATAGATTGATCTGCTCTTCTTTGTGGCAAGCCCCTTAGATATCTGAACATTGCTATCATGGCACCCTTGATTCTTCTTTTCAGTAAACTAGACATACCCAATTCCTGCCGCCCTTCTTCATAGGCAACATTTAAGTCTAAAACAAAATGTCCAACTCCATTTAATGGATACAATTCCATAAAAAAGGCAAAAGCGCACTCAAATACGAGCTACATTGATTTCAACAGACTTATCAATGAACATCCTTTAATTGGCGACGGGGCTTTCCATTTCAATATTCATTCAAAGAGATTTCCTATTTGCAACTTAAGGGCGTTGAAAACCACCGGCACAGCCATTCTTGAAAACTTATCAATGAACATTTTATTTATTTATTTAATTTTATTTATCAATCACTTACAAGATAATAGGTATAAGTATAAACATGAGTAAGAATACAGGAAATAGGTACAAATAAATGGGACAATAGGACAGGGATGGGAGGTATGATGGTGCACTTATGCATGCCCCTTAATTAACATCCTTTAATTGGCGGTGACGGGGCTTTCCATTTCAACATTCATTCAAAGAGATTTCCTATTTGCAACTTAAGGATGTTAGACAAAGTTGAAGACCACCTAGCACAGCCATTCTTGAAATCCAAGCAGACCATCTTCAAAAATCTTCAAAAAGGGAGACCCCAGCCTAGTTGAAAATTACAGACCAATCTCTTTATGCTGCGTCACCTGTAAAGTCATGGAATCAATTATTAACCAATCCAGCATCCTCCACTTAAGAAACAAACAATCTACTCTCTAATAAACAATTTGGTTTCAGAAAAAAACTATTCTGCAATCTGCAACTCTTACACTACAAAAACATATGGACTACACAACTCGATCAGGGCAAAGCAATAGACACAATCTACATAGACTTCTGTAAAGCCTTTGATTCAGTGGTACACAACAAACTACTCCTAAAACTAAAATCTTACGGTATCTCTGGACACCTGCATAACTGGATAGAAGCATTCCTGTCAAATAGACAACAAATGGTCAAAATTGGGAGAGTCCTATCAAATTCTGTACCTGTCAACAGTGGTGTCCACCAACGCAGTGTTCTAGAACCAGCTCTTTTCATACTCTACATAAATGACCTGTGATCATATCAAGAGCAACTGTGTTCTCTTCGCTGATGATGTAAAGCTATTCAACACCACAGACAATAATGCTACCCTTCAAAGACCTTGATTATGTATCAGAATGGTCAAACAAATGGCAACTTCAAATCTCAACAAATAAATGCTCTGTCCTACATATTGGCAAAAAAAATCAGAAAATAAAATACAGGCTGAATAGTCAAGACCTTGTTAATGATCCAAACTCTGTCAAGGACCTTGGAATACTCATCTCTAATGATCTAAGTGCTAGAGCCCACTGTAACTACATAGCCAAAAAGGCGTTGTTAACCTAATCCTATGTAGCTTTTTCTCTGGTAATATTACACTAATAACTAGAGCATACAAAACATTTGCTAGACCAATACTTGAATACTCAGTCTGGAACCCACATTACGTATCTGATATTAACACAGTTGAGAAAGTCCAGAAATATTTCACAAGACTTCTCCACTCCTCTACTGGTTGCAGAATACCTTGTGCCACCAGATTTGAAATTCTACACCTAGAAAACCTAGAACTATGCCGCCTTTTGTCCGATCTAAGTATAGTATATAAAATCATACATTGCAATGTCCTACCTGTCAATGAATACTTCAGCTTCAACCATAACAACACTAGAGCAAACATAGATACAAATTCAAGGTTAATCGCACCAAACTTTATTGCAGGAAATACGAATTCAGCAACAGAGTGGTCAATGTCTGGAATACTCTACCTGACTCTGTGGTTTCTTCCCCAAACCCCCAAAACTTTAACCTTAGATTGTCTACTATTGACCTCACCTCTTTCCTAAGAGGTCTGTAGGGGGCGTGCATAAGCACACCAACGTGCCTACCGTCCCTGTCCTATTGTTTCTTTTATTTTTTTATTTTTCTTATATGTATCCATGTATTCATAACTATGTTTTTACTTATACCTATTATCTTGTAAGCAATTGACAAATAAAAATAAAAAAAATAAAAATAAAACCATAGATAGCCCCCAACCTCTGGCTCGGCCGGGAGAAGAACCGTTCCGCGCCTCCCGCGATGCACCGCGAAGGGCGCCTCCGCCCGCCTGCCCTCCCTCCCTCCCGTCCCGTGAGCCTCTGTGGCAGCGCGCGCGGGAAGAGAAGATGGCGGCAGCAGTGGGCCTGGCCGAGCGGGGCTATTTGGAGCTCGGCGGGGCGGAGCGGAGCGGGCGGCATGGTCTCCGCGAACTCGTATTCAGCCTCCCAGGTGGGGGGAACCCCCCGGCGGGACCGAGAGGATGCGGGGTTGCTGCGCGGGCGGTCCTTCGCGTGACAGGCACGCACCCAGAGCATCCATGCTGGCGCGCGGGGACTGATCCGCCTCCCTTGTCCGTCTTTTGCAGGTGGCGGTGCGTCCCCCTCTGCCGTGCGGTATCCTGAGAGCGCTGGAGGGTTTTGGTACCAAGAGAACGCGCAGCTGGGCTCGGTGACTAGAAACCGCTTTATTCATTGGTGAGTGATCCGAGGTAGCTCACCTCCCGAACGGCCAAGTGTATAGAACCGTAGAGCTAGATGGGACCTTTGAGGTCTTCTAGTCCAACCCTCCTCAAGTCAGGAGTCCTTATTATTCCATCCCGGACAAATGGTTGTCGAACCTTTTCATAAAAACTTCCAGCGATTGTGCACTCACAGCTCCAGGAGGCAAACAAGGTTCACTGACGTCCGTTTACTCCGGCCGACAGCCCTGAACTACAAAGATTCAGATCTACTGCAGCCTGTTTGGGCTAAGCTTGCACTATGACACTGACATTATTTGGTTCCTTTGGTCCTTATCTTTGTCTTAATGGGAATGTGGATTGGGTGGACACAGCTGATGCTTGCTTAAAAATAAAATCCCTCCTGGCTGCTGAAGCAAACTTATTACAAGGAGTTATACAAATTTGAAGTTGATATTTTTGGGGCAGATACTGCTTTCTTTGATTCTTACCTGTTTTGCACTAAACCTAATTATGAGACTATGAAATATGGAGACTCACATTTAACTGAATTTCAACTCCTTGTTGGTGGTTCCGAGTGTGAGACAGCATAACAGAAATTGAAGTTAGGGATCTGATGATGACATAAAACAATACATCCCATGCATTTGGTTCCTATGCATGCAATATTTAATTTGCATTTTAAAATGCCAGTAGAAACATTGTAGAAAGACCTGCTCATGCTTCCCACAATATCTAGAAGGAGGAAGCATAAATCGGGGCGCAGGTCTCCTCTTTTGCTGTCTTTAGTATGTCAAAATTCCTTCTCTCTGGAAGTTAGCCCCTTCCCTCCTGCCAGTTTATAAAACTATAAAAACAATACTTTCCCAACATGGTTTTAGATGGATACAATTATCTGATAGTCATTTGAGATGTCTGTTATATGTCTCTCTTTTGGCTTTTATTCTGTATTTATGTACTCTTGTATGCCTAGACTGCAGTTTGGAGAAATTTAAAAGAAGGTTAAATAATTTGGAATTTATCATCTCCATTTTATTTGTGGAGAAAAATGGAATTTTGAATAATTGATTATAAAATGAAATAACTTCCATGAAGACATTGGTAATTGCTGTAATCAAATAGGTGCATGAATGCTCCTTTGAAATCTGGACATTATGTATTTAGAGTTGATTTTTTAGAAAAACAACATTGAGCTGAATTTATAAGCATGAAGACATGTTTTATGTGTTTAATGAAGTAAGCTATAACAGAACAAAGACTTTCCCGTATGTCCCCTTACTTTCTTGTGAGATTGGTCAATAGGTACAGAATTTAAATGTTATCATAAGTAATCACCATTCTGCTTTCTCGTTGTGAAATGGAAAAGAAGCAATAGCAATTTAAAGTGAAGAATAATTCAATTTGCTTCCATTATTTCCCCTTAGGCAATGCTGGATAAACACATTAAATGTTTCCAGGCAATCTAGGTACATAGGTAATACAGTCCCTTAAAAGTGCAAGTAAATTCACATCAGCCAATAAATCCAGTTATAAATAAACATGTATTGAGAAGAAAATTAAAAAGAAATTGTAAAAGAAAACAAAATTATAAAAGTAAATAAGTAATTGGTTTGGCTTGAACCATGTACTGAAATAAGAAAGAACAATATAGTAGACTTATTCAGCACTTCAATTAGAAAGTATTTTGTGCATTGGAATTAACTGAGTTCTAGCAAGAATATAAAATAGTAGGAATTAAACTGAAAGACATGTATGATTGTATGCCATTCAATTTGGACAACTTTCACAGTTGCTTTCTGCTTGTCAAATCAACAGCAGAAGGGCTAGCAGTAGGCAGTTAATTTAATTACCCTACTTAAGTAAAAGTAAGTTAAAAAGCTGGCAGTTTTCCCTATCACATGGATCTGTTTATTTGTAAAGGGATGCTAGCTGAGAAGTAGGAAAAGAAAGAATCAACCAACCAACACAGCAACATAACAGTCAGGACCAGGCACTGCCACACAAGTCAAGGGGTCTTGGGGGTCAGTGAGTTGATCATATTGAATCAGGGATGCCAGGTATAGTGAATGTATGTCCCCAAACAGAAAATATTGGGATTAGTTGTTTACTATTAGTGTAAACTTCCTGTATGCATTTGTTTCCTTTTACAGGGCAACCTCAGGTGCGACTTTAGAACTGGTAGAGGAGTCCCTTGACATAAACCTTTTGAACAATGCTGTTCAGCTCAGATTTCAAAATTGTAATCTCTTGCCACAAGGGGTACATATCTTTGAGACGCAAAATCATGTTGTTATATTGGTTTCAACCAATCAGACAGTACATAGATTGATGTTACCTCATCCAGCTCGGATGTATAGAAGCGTAAGTAATCTATTTTAATATATCTATTTAGAATACTTTCAAGATTATTAGAGACGAAATTATTTTAGTTGAAGAAATCAAATCACAGATTTATTTGCCTCTGTTCTTTCCCTGCATACCACTTCACCATCATAATATATTAATTCCTGTCCCATCCAAATCATAGTATTTATTTGAAGAAACATATAAACTAAGCCCCTTTTTAGTTGGATATTGAAGGTGTTTCATGTACAATAAAATAAAATTCAATATCTTCATATTGAAAAATATTCTGAAGATAAATTTGAATGGATTAGAACATGCAAGTTGTACAATTTAAGCTGCTAATGATAAAATGGTGAGGAAGTCCATTGATTAGTGAGATAATATGTAGTTGGTTTATGTATCAATTCCTGGTCTTAATCTGCCAAATCTTGGAATCAGGTAATTTTGACATTTCTGCTGAGATTATAGAGAATTAGTCTTTGGATTTACACAAAGTAATAACTATCCATAGCTGAGTTAGCTGATTATAATATGAAAACCATATTGTGGCTTAAATTGTGATATAAAAGGTGTGCCTAAACTGTAGCTTGTACCTTTGTTTTATTGTAATTTTACCTAATCCATCTATAATCTGAATCTAGTCAGGAAAATCAATACGTGATATTCTATAATTTCGAGTATATAAGTAGAAACAAGAATACCCTCAAAATATAAAAAAAACTTTTATAAAGAGAAAACACCGTAAGTTATCTCAGCAGACTAATGCCTAAAGGTGAGATACTAAGAGTAGAACAAGAATTGTCAAAATGTATCAGGTGTAATTTGATTTGCTTGAATAGGGTTGGTGAATAAGCTACTTAACATGGGGTAGATACTATGAGAAAATGCTTTGTCTAATCTTGTTTCAGATATTCAATTTTTAGAAAATTTTACACAATAGAAATATTAATAGAAATATCATTTTACTATTTTTCTCCTTCAATTTTATACTTTCTTGTTGATAATTTTATCCCTGGTCTTATTTATTTTTTTTAGGAGCTGATAACAGAAAGTCAAATGCAGTCGGTTTTTACAGATATTGGGAAACTTCATTTTAGAGATCCTTTGAACTACTGTGTCATCCCCACAGTTCCGGGGTTGTCACCTTTTTCCACTGCTTCAGCAGCTTGGCTTACTGGTGATGGAGGATCCCTCTTTGCTCTGCCATCTGCTTCTGGTGGGATTTTTGTCCTAAACCTACCACCGTATGATGCTCGTGGTAAGTGAATGCAATTATAAAAAGGCAAGTGAGTCAAAGGATAAAAGAAAAAAGGCATCGGTTGGAATGTTCTAGCTGGCTGTGCTCCCTGCAGCAGTTAAATTGCTGTCCTGCTTGGTATCATAAATATGATACAGGTAATCCTTGGCTCATATGATCAGAATTTGGACACTTGGCAACTGACACCTATTTATCACAGTTGCAGTGTCTTGGGGTAACGTGATCACTTTTTGTGATCTTCCGACAAACAGAATCAATAGGGAAGCCAAATTCACTTAATTATCCTGTTACTAACTTAACAGCTGCAGTGATTCACTTAACAACTGGGGCAAGAAAAGTCATGAAATAGTGCAAAACTGACAACTATCTTGCTTAGCATGCTGCAATGGAAATTTTGAGCTCAATTGTGATTGTAAGTTAAGGACTACCTGTATAGACATTCTGTTTCAAGTTACAGGTAGTCCTCAACCTACAACTGTTCGTTAATGAGTGTTCAACGTTACAATGGCACTGAAAAAAGTGACTTATGACTGTTTTTCACATGACCATTGCAGCATCCCTATCATATGATCAACATTTGGATACTTGGTAACTGGTGTGAATTTGTGATGGTTGCAGTGTCCTGGGGTCCTTCTGACAAGCAAAGCCAATAGGGAACCAGATTCATTTAACGATGTTACTAACCTAACAATTGCAGTGATTCACTTAACAACTGTGGCAAGAAAGGTCATTAAAGGCACAAAAAGTCATTAAATGATTCACATAACAACAGTCTTGCTAGCCACAGAAATTTTGGGCTCAATTGTCACATGTTGAGGAGTACCTCCACATTTTTCTCAGAAATTCAATTTTGTAGCGAACCTTACAGTAATTTTAAACATATTCTAATATATAGAAGACAGAAATGGGTTCTAATATCAGCAGATTTTAAAAAGTGATGTAGCAAAGCAATTCAGCTAAGAGAAATAGAAGCATTCGGTTTGGAACTAATATTGATACCATTTTGTAGAGGCAATTTCCTAAACGTCACTTTCATTCTCTTCTGACTTTCCCCTTATATTCTTTTAGATTTAAATTGTTTCAAGTGCAAAACTTAGTAAAATGTCCCATTTTGAGGGCAAAACAGGATCCGTGTAAAACATTGCAATTAATATTGATGTTAAATGAAAGGTTATTTAAAACTGATTTAAATTAAACATTCATTCTGATCAATTATTTTAGGAAATAAGAATGACCTAGTATTTGCTTAGACCACCGAGAGGAACTTATATCAGTTCTAATTATCACAATTAATAAATCAACTAAAGTAATAACTTTGTTTTAAATGCCTTTTTATAGAATTCACTAAAGCCTATCTGTCTGATTTAATTGCCTCTTTCTTATATTGTCAGATTTAAACAAATTGCTAAAAACTGTTTTCTTATTTTTCTAGAGATGCCTTCAACTTCATTTGTGGAGTTGAAACAGAGTTCAGTCATGCAGCGCCTGCTTACAGGTTGGATGCCAACTGCCATCAGGCTAGTATTATGATGATAAGCAGTTAAGGCTTATAATTAGAGTTTAATTAGAACTCTTAAAGCTTACACAGCAACAAATAGAGTAATTGGAATTGGCATTGGAATGAATGAAACATGAAAGGGAAATTGAGAACCTGGGTCTGGAGAGGGAAAGTTTACCAGAGAACCGAGGAAAAGTTGAAAAAAACAAAGCCAGAGGACAGATACTGAAGGCACCCAATTGTACAGAAAAAGGGCACCTTTCACTTTTTCTAATTAGCTCTGTTCCCAAGAGCAATGAATTCCTCATGGCGCTCAAGACAGATTTTCAAAAAAGTGGACATGGCTACCTTTGCCTAACTTACACAAGAAAGCGGAGTTGTGAGGATAATAGTAGGCTATATTGAAAAATGAGGCATGAAATTGTAATCAGTTCCTGCTGGATTATTTTGGAGTTTAAACTTCTGCAGGTTGTTCACTATTGTATTGCACTTTATGATTATTTTGAAGTTTTATGTATGGCACTATAGTATTACTGCCCTTCATGATTAATTTGAAGTTTCATGCATGACAAATTATAATATTCTTTCTCCTGGAAGAAGACCTGCTGCAAAGAAAAGACAGGTACTTTACTTATAAACAATGCTGCTTCAACTAAGTTCAGAGTGCCCTGTTCGGTCAATACTCAATTAAGATGTCAATAATAATTAAGGTCAATAATAATAATAATAATTAATATTATTAGTAATTATTAATAATTATTGACATTTCAATAAAAATATCATTTATACCTCAATAATGAAATTCAGTAGCGTTCCAGTTGGTCTTTACTATGATAGAGCAGTTGTAATGTTAGATATCAGAAAAAACTGTCATGCAGAATCATTGATTTCTCCTTAGTGCTTGCTTCTGTATTTATTATTGTTACTACTACTGTTTTTACAGAGGCGATCAAAATCCTTCAGATCTTCCTGTTAGCTTATCAGTCCACTGTCGTGAACATGATGCACTTCTCTTTGCACTCTACCAAGATCATAAACTTCGTATGTGGTCTTATAAAGTGAGTAATGTTTTATTTTTTGTTTGTGAATTAATCGTTAATATATCAGTAGTAAGCAATTGATAATCATCAAAGTGGTTTGTGTCATGGGTCCCATCTTGACCTTTTTGATCTACACCCCCAATGGACATACTTGTTCACCTCAGTTTCACGAGTTTGGACAAATATTCAGCACAATGAATTCAGTCAGGCTTTTGGAATGAGCTGTTGGCTTTCAGGGACTAATGCTCTTCCTGTTACAAATTCAAGGGTTTTACACTGAATTGTTTGATATAGAGTGCAATCATATTCTTCTCTTCGCCTTCTTTTTACTGCATTGTGAGAGGCTTTGTTATAAGCAGTGGACACTATCCAGCAGAACCTGTAGGCCAACCAGGCAAAAAGGATATGCTCCTTTGTCTCATTGCACCTCCAATCCTCTGTGTCCTGAAAAATCTGATGAAAGATTTGAGGGATCTCCCAGAATAGTTGGGTAGGTAATACTGGGATGAAAATGATGAAGATAAAGTTGAAGGAGGAGACGGAGGAAGAGGAGGAGGAGGAAGGGGAAGAAGAGAAGTAGTAGTAGTACTAGTAGTGGCAGCCACCGCAATAGTAGTAGTAGTAACTACAATAAAGCAAACAAAGAAATTATTGGCCCAAAATATCTCTTCCCTCCCTTCTTTCTGCCAATTGAGTGTTCTGGGTAGTATTAATACTAACTTCACAAAAATACCCCTAGACCTGTTACATCAGCAAATTACATTTTAAAAGATAAATCTGTTTGACAGTTTTTAGCTTAGAACTGTTTTCTTAACAACAGAAGCAGATATATAAAGTATGAGGATACCCTGTAGTAAACTACTATCAAATCTGTGATGAGCTGTGGAAAATTAAACATAATAAATTGTCTCTCTGGTGTCTCACAGTGCTGTGTTTACAATTGTATTGAAAGATGTGTGTTTTATTCATCTAGCATCTTATCTTAACAGAATCAAATGTGCCTGATGGTGGCTGATATGTTGGAATTTGTTCCTGTAAATAAAGATTTGAGACTTATTGGTGGAAGTGGACACAGATTACAGCTGGCATATTCGGAGTCATTGGGGCTTTATATTGGTGTATACTTGCATGCACCCAGACAAGGGCAGGTAACGGAAATTTTGTATTTGGAGAATACAAAATGTGTATTATTGAAACTAAAATAAAATAATAAAATACTGTTTCTATGTTAATTTATAATTTCAGATTATTTGGCAAAGGCAGTTTACAACAATATATACTTTGTTTTGGAAGCTGAGATAAAAAGCAGAGCTTAAAATGCTGATCATTTCAACTGTACTTGTTTTAAACATGGGCAATTATGTAACATGGATGCACTTAAAGATATAAAGATGATACACATGAAGTATGTTTAGAGTAGTGATTATCAATCTTGAGAGCTTGAAGATGAGTGAACTTCAACTCCCAGAATTGCCCAGCGAGCATGCTGCCTGGGGAATTCTGAGAGTTGAAAACTACACATCTTCAAGCTGCTAGGTTGAGAAACATTGCCTTAACTATTGATATGCATTGGGTTACACACATTTCTTATCTCTAAAGTAAAATATTGTGCAACTAACTTTAGATACAGAATCGTTGCATTGTCTGAGGTTACCCATTCATGGTTCATTCCTCAGCTACTTCACGTCCTGCTAATATGCCCATACAGAGAGTCAAATATTCCTTTCTATCTACAGGGAGAAGTCACATAGTTGCTGAGAATTGTTCTTCATTCTCTAGTTACTAGAATATTTGATATACATGGCATATCGTTATCTTAATTTTCTAGAATAAGAAAAAGGGCAAGGATATGGTAAGAATTCATTTCATTTTTATTTGTACTAATTGCAGGCTTTTTTTCCCCCCCTGCAGTTCTGTGTCTTCCAGTTGGTCAGCACAGAGAGTCATCGCTATAGTCTTGATCACATATCATCATTGTTCACATCTCAGGTTGGAACTGGTAACACTCAGGTCAATGAAGTCAAATGGGTTTCAGATAAAAATAAATACATAGGTCATGGGTAATCCTCTTCAGGCTGAAAAGGCTTATTCGAGCTATCTTACCTTCCCTCTTACTTGAGCATGGATAATGCAATGAAAAATTATATATACAATCATTCTAGATTCAGTCAGTAGATTCTACATTGTTAACATAGTACTGATCTTAATCATTCATTGATTTAATCTATTTACATTTTTATTTAGGAGACACTTATTGATTTTGCTTTAACTACTTCTGAGATCTGGGCACTTTGGCATGATGATGAAAATCAGACTACTGTGAAATACATCAATTTTGAACAGTAGGTTTTATTCTCCATAGCTGTTAATTTGCTCAATATGTTTCTTTAAAACAAGTTTTAGTGTTGACTGTTCTATTGAAAAGGTTTCAGCATAAATAAATTTGTGTGCCAGAGTACTAGAAGATGATAACGTTGAGCCAAAAGTTACTCTCCTCTGTACTTTTGAAGCTTTAGAATAGGATTAGATTACATAGCCCTGCGAGATTGTTCTCTTACTGGAGCTTATAATGGTCTTGTTAACTAGGTAGGAGAAAGCATTTCCAAATCTTTAGACTGAAGATACCCACCATTTCAATTTCTAACAATGTTTCTAAGATGTAAGGGAGGCCCAGTAACACTGATAATCAACTATAGGTAGTCCTTGACTTACAACTGTTGTTTAGTTATAACTGAAACTTAAAAAAGCACTGAAAAAAGTGACATGACAATTTTTTAAACTTTTGACCATTGCATTATCCCCATTGGTTACATGATCAAAATTTGGAAACTTGGCAAGTGGCATGTATTTATGACAATTGCAGTGTCCGGGGTGATCACCTTTTGTGACCTGGCAAGCAAACTCAATGGGGAAGCCGCATTAAACCTAACAACCACATCACTAACTGGAGCGATTCACTTAACAACTGTGGCAAGGAAAGTGATAAAATGGCACAAAACCTATTTAACAACTCTCTTAGCAAGTAAAATTTTGGACTCAATTGTGGTCATAAGTCAAGGACTACCTGTGTGTTTCTGATTAGTATTCTGCTTTGCAGCTAAGCTGCCTCTTGAATTATTTCCTATTAAATGGTTCTTAAATTGGCAAGAAACTTAGTGGGTATCGAGGGAATTGTTGGCTACTGCATCAGTGCCAGGATGGGAAGCCAGGGACTTGCCCCAGAGTGCCTACCACTGGATTAACAGAAAAACCCGACAATGTATGCCCACCAGGAAAAGAGAGACTATCATAACAGCATAGCAAAATAGTGTGCTTGTTTTCTAGAATCTGTGATGACATTGAATTGAAAAAGGGATAATGTGGTGAAATATGATGATTTGGAACATAGTCTTTTTATGTGTATGTGTATATGACTGAAATAATCTAGTCTTGTTTTAGCAATGTTGCTGGTCAGTGGAACCAAGTTTCTGTTCAGCCCCTGCCAGCTGAAGAAGTGAATATACGAGATGACCAGGATCCCAGGGTAAATAAACCGTATGAATTAAGTATGGACAGTATTGCTGTATTAATCTTACTTGTACCATAAATGTATGTGTAATATAATAGAAATCCTCCAATTTGAACAATGAATTTGAATGCCAAAGGTTGTGCTGGAAACAAGATCAACAAATAAATCTAGTTTCCAGTATGTTTCCTTTAGATATATAATAAACTATTGCTTTAATAGGCTCCAGGTAGCTCATGATTTATGGCATGTGATACCAGAATTTTCATCAGTAAAAAGTGCACCTGCATCACTTAGTGACAGTAATCCCGATCGCCAGCCTTAACTGACTCCCACCATCGTTGGGGAATGCAACTTCCTGCTGCATAAACCAAGTTGGTGGGAAAGCTGACAGGAAGTTTCATGCCCCAGATTGGCAGGGATATAAGTGGCTGCTGCTGGGTGGGAGAGCAGGGAGTGTGCAGGGCTGTGGTGCAGGGGGAAGGAAGGGTGGGAATGAGGGTTGGGAGGGTGCACAAAAGGTGCAGGTCGGGAGCGGGGCGCAAGGGGTATGTGAGGGGAAAAGGTCAGGCAAAGTGCAAGTCAGGTGCACCACAGGAATGGGTAGAGTGCAGGTTGCATGATGGCTGACAACATGTGAAGGATGGGTAGGATTAGTGCTGAGTGGATCAGGAGGGTTGGGAGGGTGTGTGTGAGTGCAAGCAGGAGGGTGTAATGGAGGTGTGTGATGGATTGGGGAAGGTGTGTGGCAGTGCACAAGTAGCTGGTGTGAGCACGGGGAGCGTATGGGGGAGGGTTTGGGGAACATTCCAGTAACTTATAACTTTCCCTGCTAGCTTCCCCATTAATTTTCTGGGGAAGCCAGCAGAGAAAGTTGCAAATAGCGATTATGTGGTTGTGAAGCATTGCAGTGGGTCCAAAGTGCAAACCGGATGCCAAGCACCCTCATTGTGATCATGTGATTGCAGGGATGCTGGGATGACCAGAACTCTGAGGATGGTCATAACCCCCATTTGTTCAGCACTGTTGTAACTCTGAAAAGTCACTGAACAAAATGGTTGTAGATCAGGAACAATGTGTATTTGGAAAAAATAGGCATTTGTTACTCCAAAATATGTTAATTATCAAAATATTAACAGTGATTTACATCATTTGGAAAGGACATAATCATGTAAATTTAATGTAATTTAATGTAAATTTAAATGCCTTATCTGTCTACTTTGATTTCAGTAGATTTGTCTGTTATTTCAGGGGATTGTCCAGAAAAATGTTGCAGCCATTGCACCCAAATTTTGCCAAATGAAGAAAATTTACTTTAATGTCTGTTGAAATGAGATTTATTGTATATGATAAGGCTGTTGTATTCCAATTGTCCCCAGATTTGAGAGCCATCATGCCACTCACAATTTTAGGGCAAGAAAATAGCATCACATCTTTGTTTAAAAAATCGTACAGATCTATTGAATTCATACCAATTATAATGATTCTTTACAGGAAACATTTACAGAGGCTATCTTCCTGCCTGGTCAATTCACAAATGCAGCTTTGCTTAAAGCTTTACAGGTGAGTATCGGTCATTATTTGTTGGGGAATTTGTTCTAACTAAGCAAAATTTAAAAAGCCAGTTAACATCTTTTTTGACACAAAATGGCAATGTTCGATTGCAGCCAAAGGACATAATAATTTTCTCCAGTTCATAATTCTTTTTTCTAATAAAAAATTATTAATTTTCAATAAACAAACATACACAAACAAAACACAAAACATGAAAACATAAAACTTCTTTTTGGAAAGCAGCTTAGTCCCGGGTTACATCTTTTTGTACAGACATAAATCAAATTCATGCTCACTTTGTATACCATTTCATATCTTATTTACCATTCTATATTTTCTATATGGCTTCTCCCCTCTTTTCACTCTCTTAATTCTGTTTTATATATTTCATCTCAATTTAAATCATTTATTCTTGTATCTTTTGTCCATTCTGTAATTATCTACTTATCTTTTCTCTTTAACACATAATTTCTCCTGCAATCACTGATTGAAGTATGACGCTTTTTTATTTCCCTTAAATTTAACACTTAAAATAATATATAATTTTCATTCTGATTCTGTTTAGTACATTCTAAAGCTACATACTACATTTTAAAATAAGAAAATAGTAAGTTTATAATATAATTAAAACAATAATCCATAGCAAATTAAACTCTATCATTAAATCTGAAGAATTTTACACATTCCCTTTAATATTTTATTAAATCATGTAATGTTCCAGTTTTCTAACTTTATTTCAAATACAAATACAACAATACAGTCTTATGTACTTTTGCAGAATCTCTTTTTTAATTATGTTTTTACCCTTTATCTCTGAAAAAAACCTGTTTCTTTACATCTTGTTTCAAACTTTTATAACTTCTCTTCCTTTTTTCCCTTCCTTTCTTCTCCGATCTAGCCTTCCCCACCCCCATCTCTTGATCTCCACCCTCTTAATCTCCACTCTCTGCATTCCTCTTTTCTGTTGCTTTCTGACATTGTATCAATTTTTCACCTTGTTTTTCCCTTTTTTGGTTGTTCTTTTAAGTCTTAAATTCTCCATTCTCTTTCCCCTCTTTCCTTTTTCTTCCCCAGCTAGTTGTTTGTTCATTAAAGATGGCTTCTTCTTCTTCATCCCAGTCTTGTTCTTGTAATTCCTGGTAGGTAGAAATTGCCATTTCTAAGAAGTGAAAAACAGATCCGGAAGAGCCCTTCCCTTCTTGTTCCTCTTCTTTTAGCTTTTTAAATTCCATTTTCAGTTCTTCAACAGATAATGCCATTGTAAAAGTTTTTTAAACAACCCAAATGTTTTTAATCTTTCAAATAATAATTTCCAAAAGTCCCAAAGTCACCAAGCAATCCAAATAAAACACAAGCTGTTTTAGCACTTTCTTCTTTTTGTACTTTCTCTTCCTGGGGTACAGTTCTATTGCAAAGTTCCAAAATGTATCTTTTAGAAGTCTTGTTACAGTTTAACTCTGATCTTATAAGCTCCAAGCAGCCTCCTCCAGCAAGGTCTTAATATTAATCTTTTACCTCTCCCTTCCCACTTATAGCAAAAAAAGAATTTTTTAATTCCAATGTTTAGAAATCTTTAATGTCCCCTTGGCTTTTAGTTTTCAAATTTGATTACCTGCTGATGCCAAAACAGGTTTTTCCGATTTTCATCTGCTATCTCCGTAGGGAAGGAGAGTGAGAAAAAACAAACTTTCCCTTTTAACTTTCATCCACCGCTTTTTACGATCTTCTTGGGAACAGTGTATCTTTAACAAAGTTAAGTTTCCAGGGTATTTAGATGTTACTTTTTATCCTGGTTAAGCCAAAAATTTTCACTTTCTTCAGCTTCCTCCTGCACATTCTTGTCTGGATGAAAGCTGCTTTGTGGCAGCCATTGCTGACCGCTGCTCCACCGCTTTTGGAAAAGGGAGTTTAGCCAGCTGAGGAGGGGGGTTGCGTTTCCCCTGGACCCTTGCTGAATCTCCCCTGTCTTCAGTCACCTCTACGGGGTAACTATTAGCCCCCAAATTCGGCTGAATCGGGGGCAATCCAGCGGATTCCTGCTGAAGCTTGCAAACCGGAAGTCCAGTTCATAATTCTTAATGATCTTCTATTAGTGTCAGCTGAAAAGAACTTTCTCTTCGATAGTAGTTGATAAAGCTAAATTTGAAGCATAAACCACAGTATTAACTTACAGGATCCTATCATGTTGGCAACAAATCACAATATGTAATACTAGTAAGTAGATTTTTAAACCTGGCTTCCATTGTGCATTGAAATGTAAAACATCCTGTTTTATAGTTTAAAAAAATTAAAATATGAGCTAATATTTGATAAGTGGGCATGGTTAAATATTTTTTCCAAGTAAGTAATTTGCCCTGCCTCTAGTTAAAGGCATTTATTAAGGCAATAATATAAGCATTGTTTGGTGACACTGGAAGACTAAAATTGTTATGGTATCAGATTTTGAAAGAAAATTAGAAGCAAAAAAATATGATCTACTCAAGAGGATGGCATTTTAATTAAATAAGATGGATGTTAACTTGATAATGAATCAGCTCCAAAGTCTGATGTGATCAAAATTTGGTTCAGTGCTCTTCTAAATCTTTTTAAACTAATGGTTTGCCACCCCTCCCCCCCGTTTTGGGGTGAAAGGAACATGTATGAAATTGTGATACTTAAGATTAAGCAGTGTAACTCTCTTTTTCTCTATATGTATATATTTGTAGATTTTTTCTCAAGAAGCTGAGAGATACAAAGACCTATCATGGGATGAATTGAAAAAAGAAATTACTATCGCTCTAGAAGATGAGGTGAGATAAGATTTATTTCTGTTTTAAAGAATGATCTCAGTTATTTTTAATTCTTATCTGCTTATAAAGTAGGATGGGGGGGCATAGTTGCTGTTCAGCCACATTTCTCCGCTAACCATTTTGTGACTGATATGCAAACGTTGTGTTATGTCACACATGATGCTAAACCTATATTTTTAACCTATATTTTTAATAGTCTCATCTACATATAATGCCAAAACTAAACAGATTATTTCATATAAAATGCGAAATGAGAATTAAACCAGATTATGGCTTAGTCTTATGTTTGAACCAATTATTTTGAAGCCTCATCTTTTTCTGTTGTTCTTGCTTAGTATAAGAAATAATAAAAATAATTTTATTTTTTGGTTAAGAGTAACTAGAACACTGTACTGAAGTTTGATCAGATTTGTGAAATACTAGCTGTAGTTGCTAGTAGAAATGACGATAACCTGGGTTCGTTGGTTTCTTCCATAATGAAGTATTCCTTATGAGGATGAATTTAAGATTAATTGGTTAATGGTATTAAAGTGCCAAATGTAATTTGATAAAGGATACATAGCAGATTATTTTATTTCATAAACACCTTTTCCCAGTTCCAGGGAAATGTGACAGAATATGAATTCTCTCATGAAGAGTTCAGACAATTACAAATAGAATTCTGGTCAAAATTCTACGCTTACTGCCTTCAGTATCAGGAAGAACTTTCACGACCACTCGCACTTCTCTTGAATCACTATACTAATATGGTGTGTCTGCTAAAAAAGGTAAGAACCTGGCTATTTCATAGTAAAATGTTGATGCTTTATAGACTTATAAAAGAATATAATGATCCCATACTTCATTGTGATATTGAAACAATATCTTTAAGACTGGAGTTCTACAAAATGTTTGGAAACCTACATTTATTTAGTAAACATTCAGGTGATTTAAGAATATAATTCCCCGATCATATGTTTTAGTTTTTTTTTTCTTTACAGTCAACACAGTTGCCTTGCCTTTGTTGTTTTTTATTTTGTATTAAGCTTCTTCACTCCCCAAATAAATGGGACAAACCATAATTTTAAAAAGTTCCAGGAAATCATGGAAACCATTAAAAATATTATTTGATTATTTTCTTCATAGTTCAATTGTTTACCATTATTTGCTACGAATATTTTCAAAATCTATTTTAAGACCGAGAATATGGACAGTCATCCTGATTGCAGATATTTGCTGTGTAATTTGCATAGATACATTTTATATTTGTGGTTATATTTTAGTTACTTGTATGATTTGAAATTAGAACAAATCATTTTGTGCTTTTTGAAACTGAGGGTTTGTTTGTTTCCCGTAGGGTTACTTTTCTTTTCTTGTGCCATGTTCCTTAATGGATCATCTTTATCTCTTGCCTGATGAACAACTGATTAATGAAGTTGAAAGTGCTGGCTTAGATGGTAATAGAGATGGAGCTTACTATTTGCCTTTCGATGTTATTTCAGTTCCAACAAATTCTTAATTTTGGTAGGGTTCTGCTAATGCATCTCTATTTACTATTGTGATTTTCAAAATTATGAGTTTAGCTTTGCAGAATAAAACAATTCCCTCTCCAAGTCTCTTTTCCCCTCATTCCCCACATTTATTCCATGAGAAGATTTTCCGTTTTCCATGTTCATTTTTATGCTGTTTATTACTTTTGTTCTAACAAAAGGAAAGCTGAATAAGATGTAATCTAGAGCTTAGAAAAAATATTTTAACATAATAACTGGATAATATCTCTTCAAAATATTTCTTCCAGTACTCTAAATAAAAATATTTTTTCCAGGGGTAGCAAAACTGATCCCTGTACTTTACAAGCAATAGAACTGTTATTTTTCTTGTCTTCCTACAAACAGCCCTTCTCTTACAACCATGATTGTGTCCAGAATTTTGGTTAGAAATCATTGTGATTGTTAACCAGATAGCTTCCTAACTTAACAACTGCCATGATTCACTTAACAAATGTGGTAAGAAAGGTTGTAAAATGGGACAAACTTCACTTAACAAATTCTCACTTAACAATAGAAAGCTTGGTCTCAATTGGGGTCATAAGTCAAGGACTACCTGCAATCTTTATTATAAAGGACAGGGTGGTGTTTTTTTCCCCAGAAAGCTATCTTTCATAATTATTATTATTTGCTTGGTTTTGTTTTTCAGTTTTCCTCAGTAAAGCAATACATTATTTTTTATCCTTATGAGCTTATTTCAGATTTGCCCCCTTTTAGGTTTGCTCTTTATATTTTCCAAGAGAATGTAGACACTGTACTTGATTCTCTACTTCTCTTGTTTGTCCAGAAAAGGAACCAAGAGAGGGGATGTTGTTGGAGTATCTTTGTCTTCCAACATTTATTTCATGCTTCCCTTTCCATGTTTCTGGAGTTCTGCTTGTTTCTGGAGCTACTTTTTCCTCGTCCTGCTGTCATGATCATCTGTTTTTGGCTATTGTCTAATTTAAACCAGATAGATAAAACTTTTACAATCAATCTAGATTTTTCTCTCCATTTTCAAGAGATTAAAATATGCTGTGTCTGAGCATTTAGAAGGAGTTACCTCAAATCTGCTTGAAAATTGATACATTCAAGACTGAGTTGATGTATGCAAAAAGTACTGTCTCTTACATCATGAACCATGGAATATTGGGAAACATATTTCATCTTATTTGGGGTTTTATTTGTCTTCTCAAGGGAACCTTGTTATTTTATGCCTGTTTAGAATGCGCTATAATAAAGCTGCTTTCCTTTTCATAAATTCTGAACATAATCTTCTTCTTGCAGAATCTGATTTTTCTCATGATCTTCTGAGTCTTCTTCAGTGCCTTCGGTTAATTGGAGAATCTGTTTCTGTGGAAATGGCACTCACAATGGAAATGGCTTGCTTCCGTCTCCAGTCTCCAGAGAGAGCTGCTGAACAGATCCTTAAAGATTTGATTGCTAATGACACGTAAGCCTGGATTTTGAGCTACATGTGCATATAACGATTGATTTGCTGATTTCCTTTACAGCATTGAACTGATTATATGCATTTATATAGCTCTCTTGGGGGTGTTTATTTTGACCATGACCACCATGGCTTAATTATGTCATGCTCAGACTGTTTTGTGTTAAAATATCTAGACTCGCTCAACAAGAAATCTGCCGCATAGATTCACAATTGAACTATAGGGGTGGTGACTACATTTTGTTGAAAAACTAAAGACAAATCTGAAAAGAAGCCAAATTTGCAAAAGGTTTATAAGGATAAAAATTGTTTTAGGTTTATAACTGCTTTACAAAGGAAAACTCAAGAGCAAAACCACGAAAATAGATAGATGATGATAGATAGATAGATAGATAGATAGATGAAAGAAAGAAAGAAAGAAAGAAAGAAAGAAAGAAAGAAAGAAAGAAAGAAAGAAAGAAAGAAAGAAAGAAACCTAAAGGGCACATTTCTGAAGTAAAGGGCTGTCCTTTATAATAAATAACACACGGTTCCTGTAACTATATATCCTGTGTGAAATTAATAATCTGTACTTGACGAACATTGTATGTCTCGACAATCACTACAGAACTAATCAGTTTCAGAATAATCTGTTAAGCAAGTATCAATCTGAGATATCAAGTTAAGTATCATTGAGAGATAGTAATATGCCACAAAATTACTCCACTTTCATAATCTATAATCTCTCAATAATTTCTCAATTCAGCCTAATTAAATATTATTTATTTTTTGCAGAGAAAATATGATGGAAGATATTCACAGCAAACTACAAGAAATCAAAAATCCAGTTAATGCTATTGGGATGCTTATCCGAGAAATGGACTATGAAACAGATGTTGAGATGGATAGAGGATTCAGTTCTGGTGAGAGGAGAACAACATTATCCTCTCCTTCCCACCCCAACATTCTGATTAAGTAAAAACAACTTAAAGTTAATACATATTTTTGCCTCTTTCAACAGTTCAGCCCATAAATGTGCGCATGCATCTGTCACAACTTTACGGTAGTAGCACAACAGTAAATATGGTATGTCGGTGTGTGTACAAGATGTCCATGACACGCCTTTTAATTTGCCGGGACCTGTTGATTTTACAGCAACTCTTACTACGGCTTGGAGATGCTGTGAGTATATCCTCAAACACTAAAATCCTTCTGAATCCTAAAACACCCTATTCATAAAAAAAAATATTAGTGGTATATTTTTCATAGAGAGCAAGAAATAATGGAAAAGTTACCATTTTGCTGGATCAATGTTGCCATTTTGTAAACATGCAGGAAGCTGCTAATAAATTATTGTGTGGTGTCCCTGCAATTGAACTTGAGTTATTTCCACATTTATGTGGAATCACTGTCTCATTCTCAATGATACCAAATTAACTATAATTTAACATTCATTGATGTGTTTCAGATACTATTGGGAGGAGATCAGCTATTCCACACTCAGCAGAACTTACTACATCGTACATCTATTTTGTTATTATCTTATTATGTGATACGGTGGGCAAGTCAGCGATTGGCATCAGATGTTCCTGTTGATGAACTGTCAGTGTTTTATATTTAATGTATAAATATATAAGTATATAACAAAGTATATAAACATGTCTATAAAACATTAAATTATTTTCATTTGTATTTTTATTTTTCTGCATTGCAAACAATTTATCCAAAGTCTGCTTATCACCTATCAGAGTTTTATTTTATTGCTGCTGTTTTCTTCATAATTCCTTTATTATATCATTCATCCATCTATCTACTTTTTTCATTTTCTTAGGGATTATCTTAGTCAAAACAACAGTTTTAAAATTATATTTCCATGGGATTTTTTGAAGAGATGGAGGATACTCTGTTATTTAAAACAGTGTACAGATGAATTATGTCATTTTCATGTATTTCAGTATATAAAATTCTCAAATTGATAAGTATGAAGATCCATCCATATTTGAAACTTTATAAGACTTTATAAAGTCTTCATCATATTATTTTTCAATGGTGGAATGTTATTTTTAAAGAAGAAAAACAAAATTGATGATATCCAAGAAAATATTTAATATTCTTGTAGACAGTATTAAGCTTCTATTTTTAAATACTGATAGAGCTTGTCTTCCTATTTACCTATTTTTTAAGTTATTAAGACTTTTTTCATCCTTGTTACAGTTACAATATAGAATTAGAATTGTATAACTAGTATGTTAAATGAAAGTAATTGATCTTTTTTGTAGGGAATCAAATCTACAGCATCTTTCGGTATTAAAGCTAACAGATTCCACAACAATAACACCACTGAAGCTGGGTAAGAAATGCTTATAGCTTTTTATTTATTTATTGTATTTTATAGTCACTCATCTCCTTCAGAGAGGGGCTGTGGGCACTGTACAATATAAACAATAAAATTAACATTAAAATCAGAATTAATTTAAGAGTAAAATGTTTAAAAATTCTAAAAAATATATAACATAAATTTCAAAAGGCTTTTGCCTTTATTTTAGAATCTAAGTGTTAATTTTGTATTTAATTTCAAATACTAACATTAATATTTTAAAAAATCCAGTTGATCGATGTTATTAGATTGCGTAATCAGATACATTAAGAAATATTGCTCAGCTGTTAAAACTGATGAGATCCTTTAAACATTATTAAACAATGTTTATTCTTACTATGAACTTCTTGCCCCGCATCCCGTACTGCCTGTATGTCTTGGGTTTCCATGGCATTCTCCTCTTTCTGGTGTTTTTGTACTCATCTGCCTTCATTGCCCTGACATTTCTGTGGTCATGCTAACCAACGCACTCACTTGCATGCCTGTGCGCATGCTACAGTACTTCCTGTCTCCCGGCCTTCTCCAGCTTGTCCATGGCCTGTGCTGGACTTCCCAAGGCATTCCCTGGCTTTTCCCATCCCACTTGTGACATCCCCCACAATCCTTGCCTGGGATTTACATTGCATTCTGCTTAATGATCCACATGTGTTAAGGTTATGATGACAAGTGGGATTGCGGGGATTATCATTGTTGTACTTATGTGATGTCATGCTTAGCAACAACAACAACAGGTTCCAATTGCTGTCATAACTCAGGGACTATCTGTATCTTAAAACAGAGTTCTTCAATCTTTCTGGGTTGGAGTGGGGGCAGGGGAGAAAGAGGGGATGGTTTCGTGGAAGAGGGAGGTATGTGTCTGTGTATGAACACTGGTTGCTTGTGCGAGTAGGGTTGCAAGCGCCCACAAAAACACTTGCGTGAGTGGGGCCACGAGTGCCCGCATGAATGGAGCTGCAAGCACCCATGACGCTTGAGCAATGCTTATGCAAATGGGGTCACGAGCGCCCACGCGAGTGGGGCTTCGTGTGCCCATCACGAAGCCTGGTGGCCAATAGGCCCACGCCCCAGTAATGGCCCACAGCCACATGTTGGGGATCCCTGTCTTAAAATAAAAATCCTCCCCATATGGCTTTATAGAATATAGAATGGAAAAGTAATTTAAGTTGAAAGACTGTTTAGTGACATAATATAATCTGAAGTTATTGCTCTATATTGATTTTTACAATATTTTAAAATATTTTTTCTAGTGTCATGCCCTCAAACAATTGTGGAGCTCTTCTTTCAGGAAGGAGCCCGGAAACACATAATATCTCAGCTTTTCCAGTCTAATGCAGCCTTGGATGAAACATGTTTAAGTTGGCCTCAAATGTTTTCTGCAATTTCCAGTTATCTACTGCAATTTTTGTATCCTTTCAACATATCCCTGACCTGAATAATGATGTTTTTTTAAAAAATGAACTAGTATAGTAGACGTGAATTTTTCATTGTTTTGCACACATCTACGTGAAAACAAACAAATTTCAAGTTGCTTTATTGCAAAGCATCTTTTGTAGAGGTAGTAATGAATTCAGCTAGGAATCAGCCAGAAATAGATTAATTAGAATCAGCTTTCATGTCTTTTCCCTAGAAGAGAATAAGATATAGTTGATCAAGAGTGGCTAGTTGTTGATTTCCTAGTTTCTGTTGCGTGTTTTTCCTCCTTCCTTTTTGCATTTTAAATAGTACTATTTCATTATTCATTAATATTTTTATTCATTTTTTGAATGCCAACAATACTGGAAATACATAGGCTTGCTCTGAATTTACATTGAGGGCCACTGTCTTGTCATAAGTTGAAGAAATCTTTATTCCTTATGCTGTCTTCAGGTGGCCAAGTAATCCTAACTTCCTCTTCCCAGAATGTTTGATGGGGGCTTGTCAGTATGCTCAATTGCAGGTGAGATCTCTTACGTGGAATACCTTTGGAGTATTTTTTTAAACAAAACATAAGCAACATAACTGATGTAATTGGTTATTAGTAAAATGCTGGGAGTAGATATAATTACTGAAAACTTTATTCTCTTCCTTTCAGTTGATACCAGTTGTATTTTGCTTGCTGAAATTTGAATTTCAGAATGCATGAATCAATTTAGTTAGTTGGTAGCACTGGTAGCACACATTTTAAATTCTATTTTAGTGACAGATAATTATTTAAATCCAATGAAAAGTAATATTAACCTTTCTCTGTCTAATTGCTTTATTTGTATGTCAGGAATATATTCGTTTGCTGGAACCTTGGTGTCATGTGAACGTGGGATCGTGCCGCTTTATGATGGGACATTGCTACCTTGTTACAGGAGAACACCACAAGGTAAATTTATGTTTAAAAATGTTTTTTTTTTTTTAACAATACTAAGTTGCTAGGTAATTTATTCAGGTTTGTTGGTTTGAATCATCACATTCAAGAAAAGATTCTAAGATATTTTTGAAGGTTTTGATGAATGTAGGTTAATCTAATTTAAAACAAATAATCCAAAAAAGAAAAGGATCGACTGCATAACTATCAGCCTCCTCATATCATCTACATACCATAATTCTGTATCACAACCATCCTAAAGAGAAGCTTTTTAAAAAAGCAATTGAGATTGCATTGGAATACAGAGGGTTGAAACACTATGTATGTCTATGGTTTTGTGGACTGCGTTCTGCTCTAAGAAGTAATTTTCGGTAACAAACATATATGAGATTGACTAATTTTTACAGCTAATTTTGTAATAGTTGATAATACTTTTTATGGCTTCTGTTTTTCCTCCAGGCATTGGACTGTTTCTGTCAAGCTGCCTCAGAAGTTGGAAAAGAAGAGTTTTTAGACAGACTAATTAGATCTGAAGAGGTAGAAATGGCTTCTACTCCACAGCTACAATACTACGATAAGGTATCTTTGTTACCGAGCAAAAGGAACGAGATGGCATTGTCCTTGCAATTGCTGCATGTCTTTACAGTATAAACAAAGAGTGAAAGTAAACCGTCAGTGGCTGAATACTCCCTCCCTCCCTAGGTTTTGCACCTCTTAGACACGATGGGTCTTCCTGAATTGATCATTCAGCTGGCTACTTTGGCAATCACTGAAGCAGCAGATGATTGGAGAAGTCAGGTAGGAGGCTAAAATGCCTATTTGCCTCATACAGGATTTATTTGTACCACCCAACTATTTTTTCTAATGGTTCTGGTTATCATAAATACTGTATTTATATTGCAGGCTACACTGAGGACTTGCATTTTCAAACATCATTTAGATTTAGGACATAATAATCAAGCATATGAAGCTTTGACCCATAATCCAGATCCAAGCAGGTAACGAGATATATCTTCCAGTCACAGCTATGAATTATTTATGCATAATTTTATGAGTTTGAAATAATAGCTGTTTATAAAACCATGATCTTAGGAATAGAGCCTGTAGGAGAGCTGTTTGAAATTTCATTTTCCTTAGTTCTTATTATCAAAATGGCTGATTATGTTTTGCAAAAAAAGTGAAAGTTTGGTTAATAATGGAGAAACAAATTGGTGTTCAAAATAATTTTTGAATTTCAGCATTAATCATGATTCAGAACAGCTGCCCACATTCCTCTTCTTGCCCCGTTTTTAAGGGAAACAGAATTATTTATTTAAAGGGTTGTTTTGATAGAAACATGTGGCTGTTTTATTCTGTGCCTTGATTTATGTTTTACATCTTTTCGTGAAAGAACTGTGTGTAAAAAAAAAATGCTTAAATAGAAGGTGCTTTTGTAATAATTCTATTTTGTCTGTATGTGCATGCGTGTGTAATATGGGCTTCTTCATCTGTGCCTCCTTCCTTTGTTGCTTATAGAGAGGTTGATTGTAAGATAAATTTATTTATGAACATTTGCTTCATCTCAATGCTTGAGGGGAAAAAAACCTTTTCTTTTCCAGGCAACTGGATTGTTTACGACAACTAGTAGTAGTTCTCTGTGAACGCTCCCAATTGCAGGATCTTGTGGAGTTTCCATATGTGAATCTTCATAATGAGGTATATTATCTATTCTCCTTAATAGCAAGCTAAAGTTACACAAAATATTCGGCTATGTTTGATCAATATTATTTGTTTTACAGGTTGTGGGAATAATTGAATATCGTGCTCGGGCAGTAGATCTGATGACACATAATTATTATGAATTGCTATATGCTTTCCATATTTATCGTCATAATTATCGGAAAGGTATGAAAAATATATAGAAATGTTGCTTTTTATTCATTTTTGTTACCTTTTGTTTAAAAGGTAATAACCTATCCAAAGGATAATCCTATTAAGTTAAATATTACCAAAACACAATAGAACAAACTATAATCTTTAAAAATTATGTTAAATGTTTATCAGTCACCTAGATTTTATGTCTGTGCTGTATTTAATAATTATTAAAGTGTTGATTCATTGGTATTTATTAGACACAGGTTTCCTAAACGCAGTTGTGCAAAAGAAAAGTTGTAGATCCTGTAGTTTGTAAGGGAGAGTTGGCAGGTATGGATGTTGTTAGTAACTTCTGCTCCACAATTTTCCTGTATGACTTTCCTTTGCATTTTCCTGATTTGTCTTTCCATTTAATTGTAGGAAAGTATAGAATGTAAAAGGGCATCTCATACATCTCTGATTTGGTCAGCAATTCATGGGAGAATCTGAATGGTCAGCTTAAAATGGTCAGCTGTTGCAGTTACAAATATCTCCTGTTTTAATTTCTCTTCTTTTAAGATAGGAAGGATTTAATTTGGGGCAGGTGCACTTTTTCTTTCTTACAGTGTTCAAACTAGTTCTGTTCTTTGTGGTTGCCGTATTTTTTTCCTGATTTGAAAGTGATAGATATCGGGGATAGGAGAGTTCTTGGTCTGATGGATGAGTCTGTTTCCTTTCTCAGCTGGAACAGTAATGTTTGAATATGGAATGCGCCTTGGCAGGGAGGTTCGCACTCTTCCTGGACTACAGAAACAAGCAAACTGTTACCTTGCAGCCATTAACTGTTTACGGCTGATTCGCCCCCAATATGCATGGATAGTGCAACCAGCTTCTGGTGCTGTGGTAAGAAACTCTTTCGGGATTTAATTTCACTGATTTCTCTGAATAGGTTCTTGCTGCTGAGTACAAGCATATTTAAGGTTTCAGCAACCTTGGTGGCTACTGTTGAGTCTCTATGCAGTGTTATTTCATAATAAATCTTAGTAATGGAAGTGTAATACACTGTCTACAAATACTGTTTCATTGGAAATAGACCAATAGGTGACCGCTATTGGAATAGTCAAGATAATATTCCTTCAGACTAGCCAACTGTTTATCACAAGATTGTCAGGTATTCTACACATCCTCTCCATGATCGCTTTTCACTGTTACCTTCTGGGAGGAGGCTTCATGGTATCCAAAGCAAAATAACTAGATTCTGTACTAGCTTTGTACCATATAATATCAATCTTATATATAAACTCTCAAAACTGTTTTTTCTGCTATGTATTCAAGATACACTCTGATTAATACGTGTGTGTGTGTGTGTGTATGTATCTATTTCTGATTAATATGAGTGAGTGTGTGTGTCTGGGTGCCATTTTTGTATAATTTGGCATTTTGGATGCTTCTGTTATTACTACTGTTATCCTTGGGTGTGGTGATATTGTTTGGTGGATGGTATTTTTCTTTTAAGAGCAGTGCTTTGGAATTTCATTTTAATGTGTGCTATTATGTAATAGAACAAGATGATTTTAATGCTTGAGGGAGAAGAGAAAAATAATTTTGCCTATGAATGTGACACTGCATTGTGACCAAAGTTAAACACTTTAGTGACAATAACTACAGGTAATCCCCGACTTATGACCATTTGTCCAGCAACCATTCAAAATTATGAAGTGCTGAATGAATTGTGATTACAAATGATGTTAGAGTTATGACCATCTTGGTATCCTTGTGGTTACATGATTGTGGTCTGGGTGCTGGGAAAACCATTTGCTTTTACAACCAATTGCCACGCTAATGTGATCACCATTTGCAATATTCCCTGCTGCCTTCCCCAGAAAATCAATGGGGAAGCCAGCAGTGAAGGCTGCAAGTTTTAGCGTAAGTATTCCCCGTTGCTCATCTATGTTCTTATTGCACCAGCCATTTGTACACTCCTGCACATCGTCCCAAAGCAGCACATATCTTTCCCAACCCATATAGCACTTCCTGTGCACCCCTGATCTATGCAGCGTCTTTGCACCCTCCTTGTGTAGCATAGCACTTCAGGCACACCCCTACATGCCCTCTGAAACCCTCCCTACCTGCAGGATACCTCTCAAGAACCACTGTGCATCCTCCCAAGCCCCTCTGCATTTGCACTGGCCACTTGTGCCCTCCCATGCACCCACCACAACCTGCATGGCACCTTTCACCACCTGCATGCCCCCTCAATTTCTCCCCCCCCCCCCCCCCCGCCCCAGTTGGTAGTAGCAACTTGCCAACAGGTCTGGGCTTAAAACTTCCTGCCAATTTCCTCTTTGACTGTGGTTGTGGGAAGCTGGCAGGAAATTGCCTCACCAAAGACAGTGACACTGTCTCGCTTAATGATAGCAACTGGGACTGCAAGGGATTGTCGATGCCAAGCAATGTAGTCGAGCGTTGCATTACATCTGCATCACTTAGCAACAGAATTTCAGTCCCAATTCTAGTCATAAATCAAGACTACTTATACAATTTACAAAGAAATAGCAAACTTTGGGGCCAGAATAAATTAAACAAAACAAGCAAACTTGCGCACACTCTTGTGCACAATTTTTTTTCTTTCATGATCCAGGTTCCAGATAATTTGGTAATTTTAATTTAGGGGAATCGAAGAATGTAGAATGTAGATTGAGTATAAATTAGCAGGCAATGGTAAATAATATAATTTGAGGGAATATGGTATGAAAACTTTGGTGTGTATGTAAATTATATACTTGAAGCTCTTGGGTAATTGCTGATGTATTTTCAAGGTTTTAGTCTCTGGCACGGCATGAAAACTATTGACTTTGTAGCTAAAAGGAACATGAGTGCAATGGATAGGAAGACTTAGTTCACCGAATATAAGGTTATGCAATGAAGCATATGAAGTAATGGAAGAAATAAACTATTTTCATTTTGCATACTGAAGATGCTATAGAGGTTGAATGCTTATTCTGTTTGATTCTAGTATGAACGTCCAGGAGCATCCCCAAAAAGAAATCACGATGGAGAATGTGCTGCTGCTCCAAGTAAGGGATACGCTATTTTATTATGAGTAATTACAAATTTGTTTTTCCAAGCTAGCTAGGTTATGTAACCTTTGTATGTGGATCTTATTTACGTGGTTCTGTACCATACAATATTGATTCAGAAGCTTATACTTCCTTGATCTGTTGTAGGAGAAGAAGAGGCAAAAGCTTTAAAAAATTAAGAACTGGTCTAGGGAACTGAAGAGGTTTGGGATTTCAGGTTAAGAGTTTCCTGTATTTTTTAGTGTTATTATTTATGGATAATGGAAAAAAGGAAGATAATGCCACTGGCAGCCTTTTGTTTTGGTATCAAGAATAAAAAGATGGTGTAAATGTAACTAGTTATATTAAAAGCTTTTTCTAAACACTTTAGAAACAAATTAATGAAAACATGATTTGAATTCTGAATTATATTATTCATAGTCTAAAATGTTTTAAATTTATTATAATGAAATATTAATAACTACTTGACACAGCGGGAAGTCACATTGAAATCTTGGAGCTACAGGATTTGGAAAAAGAATGTATGTTGGCTCACATACGGTTAACTTTGGCACAACATGATCCAACATCAGCTGCTATTACAGGTAACATTGGAATACATATATTAATAGCCCTCTAGCAATAAACAGTTTAATTTACAAGCTTAGATATTAGTAACTTGCCAAAGGTCCTATTGAAACCTTATTTTATTGAGTCTGGATAGGTATTGTTTAATATAAAATTGTAATTTTTGTGACTCACACAACACTATCCTTATGGTGTTGCTATGTATGCAACATAGCATTTTATTAAGTAATTACCTGGCTCTTCTATACAGAGTGGGTATATGGTATATTTAATCTTGTATCTATAGTTCATATTTACAATATTTTCATTTCTGAAGCCATGATATTAGAATTTATAGTTACATGTTAGTACATATCACGTTTGTTAATTGGCAGATTTATTCTCTTCCCAGGAAACTCATCTCCCAAAGAGTTAGTTGCCCTATTGGTACAGGCTGGTCTCTTCGATACGGCTATTTCTCTCTGCCAGACTTACAAGCTTTCCTTAAGACCTGTGTTTGAGGGTCTTACTTTCAAGTACGTGACACATTATTGGGGTTCTTTATGAAGTATGAATGCTGCAATGAGTTGAATATTTCTTAATTTTTAAATTTTTTATTAATTTAAGAGTTCCTTATTTTCAGTTGTAAATCTACATTATAGATTTACATTGCCTATAAATTGAGCCCTGCCAAGGGCTGGAAAAGGAGATTTTGAGATGGAGGAAGAGAGTAGCATGTCATACTAAATTGCAGTATCCACAGTGAATTCAGTGGATACACTTTATATCCACAGTTGTGGTCCTTGTCATTTGATGAAAAGTTTATGGAAGTCCAGAAGGATTCATTACTGGGATCATTGTTTTTGTATCATGCTGACAGTGGCCTGGAATGAATCTGTGTTTTTGGGAGGGTTTTTTTGGAGACCATTTGTGTCTATAAAAACTTGAATGTATGATGATGAGATAAGACAAATTCAACTTATTAATAATGGTAGATTTGATATTTACAGTAATTTTAAGGAAGAAGAAAATGCATTTTGCTTTCTGCCTAAGCGGAATGAAAAAATACAATTTGATGGACAGATAACTGATTTAATCATCTGAGAAATTCATATCTCACCACTTATCAAAATAATAGATGAAAATAATTTAAAATAGGGAGCCCTCCTACTGATGAAACCAGTAGTACGTTCAGAATTGAGCATTAGAAAAAAATAGAATCCCTTAAGAGTACTAGACTTGGATTTTGTTCTGTTTCTCAGGATAATCGTTTTCATAAAGTGGAATGATCTAGATCTCTGTTCTTTTGGCAAAAAATAATTCAACAGTTTTTATTAAATATTAGTTTTATATACTGCGCTTAATTATATATGCTCCAGGTGTATTAAACTTCAGTTTGGAGGCGAAGCAGTTTTGGCAGAGGCATGGGATTGGCTTGCTGCAAATCAGTTGTCATCAGTCATTACAACCAAGAAGAACAGGTAAAGTGTAGTATTTAAATAGTGATCTCATAAATTTGCATGAAAGTAACATTCTTACTAATAAAATATTGTTCCAGTTAAGATTGTTCTCCCATAACTGTTATCACCCATAACTGAACAGATTTTGTAAAACTTTTGAGGAATGAAATATTTTTATTTTTTAACCAATTGTCTGCACTGCCTATTCCATTTGCATGTGTCTGGAGTCTGGACGGTTTACAGATAAAAGAGTAAAATGATATAAAACCTGTAGTTAAATACAAATTAAAACAAAGTTAAAAGGAATAGTTGCAAAGTTAAAAGGCAGAGGGAGCACATTCATACCACTTTTTATTCTTTAAATCTTGTAACATTAAGTGCAAACCTTAATAGAGTTCAGTGTTGTGGTCCTTCATTGCCAACATTTATGTAAAAAGCTGAAAAAAATGATTTAGGGAAAAGATTGTTCATTCTAACAGAAATAGATAAGTAAAGCAGAAAAGAAAAATTCAAAAAGGAAAGAAATAAGAGCAGAAGAGCAAATCTTTTAAATGAACTGGAGAAGTTGTGCAGGACAACAGTTGTGCAGGACGTACCAAGATAGCCAAGTCAGGTTACATGAATTTAGAACAAATCCAGTTTAAATGGTAATATCTGCTATGTAATGCAAAACAAAAAAGAGCACAGGAATACATTCAGTGGGATTGGCAAAAAGTAAACTTAGGTGAGCCTTCCACCTATTATGACAAAAATGGCAGATAGAAGGAAAAGTTCTCATTGGAACCGGTGCATGTTGGGTAGACAACAGGGTTGTTTCCCTCTTTCTTGCAACTATCCAGTCTTTTGCCCTGTGTGATTCTGACTAACATTTAAAAACAGTTGGGCCTTATAACTGAATCATAACTATTAAAGAATATTCACAAAAAGGCTAATCACATACAAAGTAAAAAAAAAAAATCCACCTCAACGTCGCATTTAGTACCTTAAAAGTAAGCAAAGCAGTATGTGCTAAATTCTAGAAAAGTGCAGAAATTGTGTTAATTTTGAAACATATCATGGTAGCCAAAAACTTTGAGGAAAAGTACGTGTATATACACAGCCAAAAACATGCATAAGTACACATTTAGAAAAAAAGGGGAGATAGCATTGATAATATAATAAATATATTCCAATTGTTTATTGCAGTGCAACAGATGAAGCTTGGCGTCTCTTAGCCTCCTACCTGGACAAGTATAAGTCAGAGAATAGCCCATACCACCGTTGTGTAATCAATAAGTTGCTGTCTCATGGTGTTCCCTTACCTAACTGGCTTATCAACAGCTACAAAGTAAATAACCAGTTTGTAGAAAATTAATTTGGGCTAGAGGATTCTAGTTAGCAATAAAAAAAAACTCTCAAAAATTAGTAACAGATTAGAAAGTATGATATATTTGAAAGTAAATTACAGGTAGTCCTTGACTTGCAACAGTTCATTTAGTGACCATTCAAAATTACAACAGCACTGAAAAAAGTGACTTATGTTTTTCATATTTATGATCACTGCAGTGCCCCATAGTCATTTGATCAGAATTTGGATGCTTGGTGACTATGATGGTTGCAATGTCCTAGGGTCATGTGAGCATCTTTTGTGACCTTTTGACAAGCAAAGCCAGATTCACTTAACAGCCATGTTGCTAAGTTAACTGCAGTGATTCACTTAATAACCATGGCAAGAAAGTTTGCAAAATGGGGCAGAATTCAAATGTTTTACTTAGCAAGAGAAATTTTGGGCTCAATTGTAATCGTAAATTGAGGGTGACCCCTATATATTTTTCAGGTAATAAACTCATCAGGGACTGTTTTTTCCAGCTAGTATAATTTATTATTTACATGTGTTAGATATCTTACTTTAGAAATGCAAGGAGAAAACCAGTTTATGATTATATTTTCAGAAATACAAGGAGAAATAACAACTTCTGATTTCATATTGGTGAATTGGACAAATGGGGATTCAGTTCTCATTGGAAGAATTAGACAAAGTCATTTTAACCAGAATTGCCAACCAGGAATGGTCTTTTCCTACAAGTGTTCTTTCCCCAGTTTAGGATCAGTTTGTCTACAGAAATTAGTAATGTTTATATTCTCTGGATTTACTTTTAGTTTCTTAGTCTGCTACTCAGATTAAATGCTTCGGGATTTTAATTGTTCAACAGTTTAGATTAAAAGAGAAATAGGCACTCCAGCTTTCAATTCTTGAATGACCTTTCCTAATCATCCTTTATGAAGTTATTAAGAGTAATCCCAAGACCACCAGACAGAATGAGAATCATAACAGTATAGAGCTTCTTAAATTCATATTGGGCAGTGGTCCAGAAAAAATATCATTTGTATCAATAGCTGATAAGAGATGTGATAGAAATAATACATACAAATTCCTCATATCTTGTAGTGTAGGTAACTCATCCAAATGAAGAAAGCTAATTCCATCTCATTATTTTTTTTAATTGCAGCATTTGTTAAATCAAATAAATAATTTTGCAGATTTTTAAGATGGGAAAAGTAGGAAGAAATATACAAATCTCAGAAGAAAAGAATGAGAGGAAGATAGGTGATTGGGGTGCAGGTTAGATGTGTCACACTTGAAGTCCTTGATTTTTGTGGCAGCAGCCAAATAGGAAAGCATTGGGAAGATCAGGGTGATATGGCACACGTTATAGGTGCTAATGTCATTGGCTTTTTCTCTACTCTATCCCATCACTATCTTTTCCAGAACACACACGTTCTGGTTTAAATTATGTGGAATTATCTGGTTCCTTTTGCAGATCCTTATGTAAGGAGGGTATTGCTTTAACTTAAAGCTACCAATGGAAGTTGATGCCTGATTATTTCCACTTGTTCCTCTACAGAAGGTAGATGCTGCTGAACTTCTCCGACTCTATTTGAATTATGATCTCCTAGAAGAAGCTGTGGATTTGGTGTTGGAGTATGTGGATGCCTTACTTGGGAAAGGACATGATTACTTTGGGATTGAGGTATGTGGGATATGTCTTGTCATTTCTTCCCTTTAAATGGAATAAAATGATTAAATATAATTAAATATTCCATAATGAAAGCATCTTATTGCAATAGAGCAGAGGTGTCAAACTCGTGGCCCACGGGCCAGATGCATCACATGCTCCCCCCCCCACTTGGTTAGCAAAGGGGGGGAAAGTCTCAATACATCAGATGCCACTGTGACAATGCGAGTTTGACACCCCTGCAGTAAATTTAAAAATTTTAAAAATTGTATTTGCCTATTTGTTGGAATAAGGCTGAAATGAAGTATAATTCAGACAAGCTTATGATCTTGATTAGTGAAGAGAGAAATGGGCAAGATTTTGGGTGGAAAAAAAGTCAAGTTTGCAGTCTATCAAACTTAGTCTTTCATATCTAGCTAGCTGTCTCAAGTCAGATTTGGAAAGAAATCCATACACTGTGTATATAGTCTCTGTCAATGGAAGCATTTCCTGCTGATGGAATGGGAGACAAATTATCTTCACAATATCAAAATCTATATAAGGCCTCCAGAAACAGTACATTCAAATAACACGTTGAGGTAGTTTATGAATTGAATATACAGTATTAAGTTATACATGCACTCTTCTCTCTCTGAATCCCAGTAGCTAATTTAGCTTGCTTATGATTGTTTCATGTTTTTCATGACATCTGATAAAAATCCACATGCTTTACAAAGAGAAATAATGTAAAATAATCCATAACTTGTTTTAGATTTGTTTCTCTTCTTAGTGATAGATGACATGAGAACTATGAAACGAAGTCCTGGCACATACCAATGGTGAGCTATAAGAGGATAGGTTTGGGGCTAGCCATGAGCCACAGTGAACTGATTGTTGGAATGGACTCATATTCCCTGTATGGTCTTATCAGATTTGTATCTTGGCTATGTCCATCTGCTTTAATGTGTTGGCCTTGTAAATCATTGCTTTATTAATAATAGAAATACGTACTATAATTTTTTTATTTAATATAGAATTTGAGGGGAACGATTTATTTTTCTGTCTCAGGATATAATTCAATCCTTTTAAAATTTTATTCAGCCTTGCTGAGTGGTAAATAGTGTGAGGTTTTTTTCTTTTTTAGTTGAAGTTGAAAAGCATTCAAAATCCCAGATTATTGGCATTTGGACAGCATATACATTTAATTAATATTAATAATACCATTTTCCTTATAGTTCCCATTATCAGCTACAACTCCAATTGTCTGGCTTCCCTATTCAGCAATTGACCAACTTCTTCAGGTACTAGGAGAAAACACAACCAATCATCATAACACAATGGTAAGTAAAGCTACAAAAAGTAGAATTTGCCTATTAAATCAAAAAGGCTTTTATTACATACTTAATTTGCTTTTAAAACTGAATTAATAAATGAAAGGATGTACATTCAATGAGTTATATAATCTGAATATACAGAGGCTTTATTTGAGATTTTAGAGGAGCACTAAGGAACTAAAGCTTTTAAATTGCTTTAATATCCTAGCTTATTCTAAAGTTACCAAACATGTTTCAGTTTAGATAAAATGGAGATTAATAATTATTTTTAATTTTCCTACTTTAATTGTGGTTCCTTAAGCCAAAAGGACTAAATTCATGTAGTGAAACTTATGTATATTTCAAGATAAAAAGTCTAAAAATCTAATCACATTCATTACTGTATATGTTGAATTATTGCTGATCAGTAGAATTCAACTGTAGCTAAATGTTTACAAATACATGTTACAACTATGTCCTTGCTGGGTTTCAGTTATATTAAAATTCACACATCCAAATATCCTGCCAAATTTTGGTAGAAAGTATACTAAAACAGATAGGATTATACTCCAAATTCTTCTACTTGGGAGAATCAGTACGCGTCATAAAAATTAGTTAGCCTATAGTTTTTCTTCTTCCCTCATCACGAAAGGGTTTCATAGTTTGTACTGTATCTTTACAATTAGCCAGTTCCTGCACCTATATGCAGTTCCTTTAGCTTTCTCCTTGTGAGGAAAATTTGCATTTTAACTGTATGTAAATTGCTGAGAATCAAAGAAAGATTCTGTATATTTTACTTAATACTTTTATAACAGTTTTTCATGATTATAAGTAATTACAGGAGGCAGTAGTGTCTAAGGAAAAAGAATAGAGGTGTAATCCTATCAAAGGGTAATTCTATTTTTTTTTCCAGTCTTCATCTTTCCAATGTTCCTAAAAGGATTATGCTGTTTTTCTCTTTCAGCTTTATCAGAAAGTGCGTGACAAATTAGAAGTCTACCAAAAGCAGGTTGATAAGGCAACTAGGGTTCATCTTCTTTATTGTCGAAACTAGCAATCAGTCTTGATCTGAGTGTGACCTCTCAAAATCACCTTGTGCCTGGAGGCCCTTGGGACAAAATTACAAAAACTGTGCTTTAAACCAGGACTTTTCAACCTGGACAACTCTCAGGTGTGTGGACTTCAATTCCCAGAATTCTCATCAAAAGATAAATTGACTGAATTCTGGTATTTAAAGTCCACACATCTGGAAATTGCTATGGCTGGAAAATGCTGCTTTAAATTATTATGTGTAACTGGCATATGTAAAGCATTTGCTTTGCATGGACTGATTGGGATCATGGGGTGTCCTATGCACTGCTGGTGGTGCTATTATTATAAATTCTATTTTTTCATAATACTTAAAACATTCCCTATTAGGGAATGGTGAACCTTTTTTAGTATGGGGGATGCTGAATTGAATTACGCTTCAGTCTGTATTAAGCTGGATGGCAGTAATTACCTGTAATGAAAAATTGTTTGTATATTGCATGTTCCTACATTTTTTCTACTGAAATACTTTGTATGATCTCCTTTGTTCTGTACCATGTATGGGCACTAACAATGGTTTTATTTATTGTAACAGTTTTTGAATTACCTTTAATAAAATGATTTGTTTTAAATTTCTAGATTAATTTTAACAACAAAATAAATATTTAAATTTTATATTGTTAAAGAAGAAAAAAGTTTGTTTTAAAAAAGCAAATAAAAAGTATGAACCAATATTCTCAAGAAAGAAAGAATAGAAAACAACTATTTAACTGATCTCTTTGGAACTGTTTTCTCATTTTGACATTTCAGGAAAAATACACCACCATAACATCAGAAGCACAGCTTTTCAGAAAAAAAAGGTTCACTCAGAAACTACACATGCTTTTTTTATAGTATGTTAAACCCCCTCAAAGTGTATTTGGATAGTGTTTGAAATACCATAATAATTGAATTCTGAGCAGATGCTTACAGCCTGCAGAGTGGATTCAACCATATGCTTAGTTGAAATGTTGGTCCATAGTTCATTGCCCCCTCAGGCAAATGTTCATACTGGATTTGGCATTTTTAATCCACCTATCAAGTCTTCCCGACGACCTGGAATAAGTGGATATGTGATGGTGTAACTAGTACTGGCGCAGGAGGTAAGCTGTTCTGAGTAAAGCTGCCTTTGCAATTGACGGTAAATTTGACAATGCTGCTAACATTCAAGTGGTATTCTAGTTGTTTTGGGATTGCACCCAAGGCTCATATTATTGGATTGGGATTGTACTCAAGGCTTACCTTTGCTTTCTTTTGTCATAATCTGTCATCCACTATTCAGACATTTTTGTCTGTCTTAAAGACAGTTGTTAAGTCTAGCAAGTTTTGTACCTGGTGCCCATTTATTTGAATTCTTTTAAATCCCAGAGCACTTTAGCTTCTTCGTTTTCTATTAATTTCTCTATCTATGGTCCCACCATTTCTTGCTTGCAGGCCAATGGTATTTCTTTCAGATCTTCCAATATACTATCATTGCTACTTTGTCATGGTTGTTTGTAGTCAGTTGGTTCAATCTACTTGCAGCAACTAACCAGGTGGTCCACTATTTGGTCAGCTTTTTTGCAAAGGTGACATTTGCTATCTGTTGCTGTCTCAATTCTGGCTTTGTATGCATTTGTTCTTATGCAGCTAGAATTAGCCCCTTTCTTCAACTTTCCTGCTCTTAGCCATTGCCAGGTCTTATTATGAGGTTTACCGGCTATTTTTTTAAATGTACTGGCTTTGTAATGCTTTATCTTCCCATGCCTCTTTTCTGTTCTTCATTTGATCTTTCTTGTAAGCCAATTGGGTCTCTCCAGTACTCAGTAGGACTTCATGGTATACTAGCTTCAATGTATCTTCTTAAATATCCTTCAGATATTCTTTCAATACTCTTCTTCAACTATCCGATATACTTGCAACATTCCATGCTCACTTATTTTCCTTGGTAAGCAGAGTCTGTCAAATTACTGCATGAATGAAAGGCATGACAATCTATTTGCACTTACATCTGTGGAGATTGTCAGTCATCCAGGTCATGGTTGTCCCAAAGGTGTTTTTCAAGAGGCAACTGGACTTTCTGGTTTTTCTTTGAAGAAGTTTAGGTTTTCATCCAAGACATTTCTTTAACTCTGAGCTGAAGAAGTTTCTTGGATGAGAAGCAAAATTTCTTCAAAGAAAAAACAGAAAGTTTAGTTGCCTATTGAAAAAGCACCTTTGCACTTATATTCAGCTGCCAAGTGCTCCATCATGTGATTGCCATATGCAGGCTTCCCCAGAAAGTCAATGGAGAAACTGGTAGAGATAAGCTGCTACTGCCTGCCTAAGTATTTTCTCTCCTACATTTATAGTGAAGAGAACAGGAGGTGGACATTCATAATAGAGCTGCAGTAACAAAGCTTGAATCTTTAACCTGCCTGTCTTTCTAGCCCAGAGCACAAGTTCCCTTCTACACAGCCTAGCACATGAACTTTCTTCTGCATGTGGAAGGATTTCACTCCATCTGCTTAACAGCAACTAGCAGAGCCAGGATTGCAGTCATTGACCAAAGCTGTTGTGGCACCTTGGTTAAAAGTTACTTTGCTCAGTAAACCAGATTCTGTTTTTGTGGTCTTTAGATCAAGGATCACTAGTATCCTTAACCAACTTTATCTGCAAATAATAAGTTATTGGTGCTAACGATTACCCGATTTTAGAAAAATATTGGCCAATCCAACGTATTAAGTTACAAGATCGTTGCTGTAACGTCCGTTTGTCAATAGAATTTGAAGGGGAAAAAAGCAGCTCTCTAGATGGTGGAATAACATCAGACAGCCAATTAATTGTTTTACAAGGAGCAGGATTTAAACGCTCCCACTTGGAAGCTATGAAATTTAGCGGGAGGGTTTGGGCTAATCGCACGCGTTTATTTCCTCCCCTCCCGGCCCTATTATGAGGACCACATGGAGAACAATAACTGCTGCAATTAATCACCCTGCTACGCAGCCCTACGTTACCGTGTCCCTTTTGTTTACGTGGAGATTTCCATTCAACTTGGCAGACGGGACTGGAAGCCTTCGTACGCGCCTTGGGCGCGCTGCTGGACAAGGCGGAGAATGCAAGCGGAGCGCCGCTGTCCCCGAACCCCTGGCCTCTCGTTGCGCAAGGCCTCAAACCACACCCCGCCCTCTCCGGCGCCCGGCGGGCGGCGCAAGCTCCGCCTCATCATCCCGACTCTCCTTGCGCCCCGCCGCCGCCGCCCCGCCTCCAGTGGTAGGCCAAGACTGCGCTCGCTTCGACCCTTCTCGGGCCTCTGGTCTGCCAGGAGAGGCGCGCTACGCTGCCTCCGATGGGGAAAAAATCGCGGGCAGCGCCGGTGGGGCGCCGCCCGATCCTGCAACTCTCACCGCCGGGGCCTCGTGGGGGACGGGAAGAAGCGGCGCCGGGGGACGGGGACTCGGCGTCAGAAGCGGGTGAGGGCGTCGGCGGACTTGTCGGCTGCCACCGCGCGGTGCGGCCTACATGCTTTGCGGTTGGGGTAAGGTAGGGCGGGGTGGGGAAAAGAGAGAGAGAGCGTTTCCCCGGCCGCCCCTAATGAAAGCGATTGCGGGTTAGGGCTTCCCCCGGCCTTGCCTAGTCCTTCCTCTCCGGTCCCTTCGGGCGGTTGTGAGCGCAGAGCTGCGTCCTGCCTTTTGCCGCGTGTATTAACGCTTGCTCGTCAAACGACAACAATGGGCGCCTTGGTCGCTGTTTTGGCGAGGAGCTTCAGGAAGCCCAAGTGTGTTTGCAGCCTTCCTTAACTTAGCCTACCTAACCCGGCCGCCGGCGATGGGGCTCGCTTTGCCGATGGGAAACGTCCTTTGGGGAGAAGGTAACTTCCTTCAGGCATTCCAGTAAGGCTGTCAAACTTTTAAACCAGACAGGGATCCCCTTTAGCCCAGCCTCTCCCCGGCGGGATGATGCGCCTGGAGATGCGGGATGGCCTTGGTTGGAGTGATACTGGACCGGAATGACCCCTGGGCAAATAATGATGGGGGGCAGTTGATGGCGGTATCTTGGGACATTATTCAAAACGTCGGAAGTGGGGATTATAACTTGCTTTTTCATGCCTTGCACTTTAGGTTCTAAGGGAAATCCAGAAGCACTTACAATTAAAAATGGGGCGGGGGGGGGGGTTCCAAGAGATTGTGCAAACATCATACGAAACGCTACATAAGTGACAGGCAGCTTCAGTCAACCAGGACAGAGCATTAAAAAAAATAAGAATGAAAATAAAATCAGTAATTAAAACCATAAGTTTCACTGTCAGAAATATGGTCAAAGAGTCAGTCTTTTATCTTAAGTAAAGGCAAGTGATGGACTATCTTCATCATCTTCCCATGACTTGATGCCCAGTGTGAAAAGTCTATTAAAAATGGGGCGGGGGGGGGGGAGGTTCCAAGAGATTGTGCTAAAATCATACCAAACGCTACATAAGTGACAGGCAGCTTCAGTCAACCAGGACAGAGCATTAAAAAAAGGATAAAAATAAAATATACTCATGCACAATAGATATGATCTATAGCCAGAGTTAAAAGCAAATCATTACCTAGGCATGTGCATTTTTCACATTTTAGCATTTGTAGCTGAAAGAAGCCGACTGAAATAGTTGAGCAGTAAAAGTATAGATGTTTTGAAATAAAAAAATAAATCTAAATAAATTACTCTTCCTGTGATTTTTGCAATAGTAAAATCATTGAAGACAATCATTTGGCTCTAAAACGGACTTTATTTATTCCATTGGTGGAGAGAACTAAGATACATTTGAAAGTTTCTTGAAGGAAAGCAATGGAATAATTTGTTAATGGTTTTTCCTTGTCTCAATTTGAATTCCTTGTTTTCCTGCAGTCCTCATTACTACTACTCATGCAATTCTGGATATTTTTTTTAAACTGTGTGTGTGAGTGTTTGTATTGTTGTATGTGTGTTACAAAAATGAACAGCCAGCAACTGAAAGAAGCTATGTTTAACAATATAGCTTTGGCAGTGCTTGCTTATAAACTTGCCAAGAGTCGGCCATGACTGGAAAAAAAAAGTAGTTAAAACTACTACCATATTGTTAATAATAAGTTCCTTTGCTTTTATGCCTTTAATTGTTACTTTTCTTGAGAGATCGAGGAAGGAAGCCTGTTTCCCTTCCTGACACCACCAATGCATGTTTTATTATATTTTATAGTTAGTATATTTTTGAAGTATTTATGTTTACTTTTTCCAGATGAATTTGAAGTAACTGAAGAGGCCCCCAAAATAGCCTCAAATCCTCCTCAGGCTAACATGCCAGTTGGTCCTGTACCAGTCAAGCCAACAGGTACAATATTTCTCAATTCCATTTATAATATGAAGCTATAGTTACAAGGATCACACTGTTTGCATACAACACATTTTTAAATGTTACTTATTTAGCTTTTTGTCTTACATCTTTCCATTAGAGTCATACAGGTAGTCCTCAGTTTATGACCACTCAATCAGTGACCATTGAAAATTATAAATGAAGGGGACTAACAACAGGTCTGCAAAATTGCCGTCTGTGCAATATGTCCACAGTCACATGATTTTGAAGACTTGCTTGTGATTACAGCATTGCAACGAGCTGTAATTGCCATGTGCAAATTTCCTTGCCAGTTTTCCAGAAGAAAAGTCAGTGGGGAAGCTGGCAGGAAAGGTCACAAATTGTTCCCATTTATTTTTCCCCAGAGGAGTCCGCTATGGAGCTCCATAGCCACCAGTGCTCATCTGCTGTCCTCACTGGCTCACACATTGCCCAATGCCTGCCTGCAACCCTTACTAGTCTGCCCCAGTGCCTGTCCATGGCCCTCACCAGCACATCCATAACTTTCACCAGGCTTTCCATACTCCATGTACCCCTCCCTTCTTCTTGTCTAGGACTCCTGACTCTATTCATTTAACCCTTGCAGTCCTGGGCTAATGACGGTACCTGGGATTGCTGTCACTAAGCAAGGCAGTCATGTAGCATTGCACTTTACAACCATTTTATTTAATGACAACAATCCCAGCAATCTAGTTGCTATCAATCCAAACTGTAAACTGTTTCTAAACTCTGATTTGTGTAAATCAGATTGGATACACTACAGGATTTTTACAGATTAAATACTGGAGTTATTTTTCTGAATTGATTAAAATGAAGATTATTTTCCTTTTTAAAAAAATCAGAAAAAAGATTCTTTGTAATTTTTTATTATATAGTAACAATTTTAAAAAATATAAGTCTTCCATCAGATTTTTGAAACCTTCATAATATTAATGTTCACAATATAATTTGTCAAATATGTATTTTATTTTTCAAAATTTATAATTTGTCCTAATTCCAAAGGATTCATGATAGTGTACAGCAATACAGAAAAGCATAATACCTAAATCTAAATCAAAAGAAATGTTATGCATGAAAGAAGAGCAAGATTAAAACCCATGAGAAGCATCTATAGTATGTCGACTAGGAATAAAATATGTAACACTGAAAAAGTTCCCAAAATTTATTTCACACAATTTTATCACAATATCAGTTTATTATTTTGGTGACAGCAACATTATTTAAAATTCAATTCTAGCCATCAACACATTTTTTTTCTTTGCAAGGAGCTAAAACTTGTATCAGCGGCATTAATTCAAGAATCTGCAAAATTCTGATTTGCTGATGTAGTTCTTAGCATTCCCCAATCATATCCTAAATTTGACTTTGTTGCTGTAACATATTTCATATGACTTAGATGAAAAGATTGCATTTTCACTCTTTTTACATAAGAGCAAACATAAGTGAAGCCATAAACAGTATTACTCTCTACACATTATTTTATTTATGTGTTAGATTTATGTATAAACTTTTCTCCAGGAGTCAATGTGGTTTTTACATGGGGATCTACTTTCATTTTACTTTCACAACAATTACCTTTTAAGGTAGTTTGGGCTGAGTGAGGATAATTGTCTCAAGTCACCCAGTAAGTTTCCATGACTGAGAGTGATCTTTCCACTCCTGCATGAATATTAACAGGTACACTGCACTGGCATATAAAATCATAATGTAATTTGCATTGTTTTGGTTTAGCATGTTGGGTAAACTCCATTGTTATTTGTAAATTTGGCTTAGATGTGCATACATTTTTACAATTAACCAAGGTTAAGTAAATCATGGCTGAATGGAGGTATGTATGGACCATTCTTTTGCAGACAGAAGCTATAATTTCATTTTTTTTTCTTTTTATAAGGGGAAGAGGGCTTCTTTTTAAAAAGAATGGTTGGTAATATAGTACTAATTTTCCAACAGAGTTAAACTTGTTTTATCCTTTTTTGGGGCGAAGGATTTAAAAGTTCGTTTCTACTTTTTTGCTTAAACATACAAAAACTCATGCTGTGGGTTTTCAGCTAATTTTTTAAGATACAGTTTGGAAAAATTACTGGGACTATAAAATTGGGGCTTGAAAGGTTGAGGCTTAGTATGATTCATGCTTAAAAATTGAAACTATCTTCAGGATTCAGGTTTGGTAGAAAAAGCATTTGGTATCATAGTAGAACTATTAAACTATAATAGAACTATAGATAGTAGATAGTAGAACTAAATAACTATAGTAGTAGAACTATTAAGTCTATTTCAGGCATTTTATAAATCAATTATGAAATTACTGCTGGGGAGTTGTGTGTAATAAGCTGTCTGGCTAAATATAAGGACCTGTAAAAAAATTCAGACATTGAATTTTTCTGTTTGGATAATTATAATGTGTTGCTATTGTGGAATGCCAGATGTGATAATGTTGACTTTTCTTTTAGGTGGTTTGTGTTTGCTTGGTACATATGCAGACAGTGATGAAGAGGACAGTGAGATGACCGAGAAAGCAGCACAATCTGCAGATGCAAATGGAAATAATTCAACAGACATCGATAGTACTCTGGCTAATTTCCTAGCGGTTAGTAGGAATGTTATTTTGGTTCATTAATTGATTTAGCCCTTGAACCAGTGTAGAAGATAAAAACAAATTCACAGTAGTACTTTACAACAGACAAGAAAAAAGAGAAACCATCTGAGGCATAATGTTTTTAGGAGCTGTTCAAACATTTTGAGCATTTTCTCTTCTAGATTGACATTAAATAAATGTTCTTTTACTTTTTCAAGGAGATAGATGCAATTACCGCTCCTTCCCAACCTCATGAGGCCGCTATGCCAACTATGGCTCCACCGCCAACTCCTCCACGGCCAGAACCGAAGGAGTCTGCTGCCAGTCAGGTTTTGGTAACTTCAAATGGAACAGACCAAGTAGCTGCATGGCAATATGACACTCAGTGCTCATTGGCAGGAGGTGAGCTAGTTTATTCATAGATGATAATATTGGGCGGATCACTTAAGCCATTAGATCTATCTTCCTGTTCATTGCACTTCCTATGATTTAAGGCTATTAATCTGTATAGTGCATTCTTGGACTATAAAGAGCTCCTGTCAACTCAGGTCACTTTTTCTAAGAACATAATATATTTAAGTCTCTCTACCTTGCCTTCTAAGATTTAGTTACCAATCCCCCTAATAAACACTGCTGTTCTCTGTATACTTTCATCAATTTGTTTGAATCCTTTAAAAGTGTGCTTATTGCTGGACCCAATACTTGAGATGGGATCCAGTTAATTTATTTTCCACGAGTTGGTAACTATAATTCTACTGATGCAGCTTAAAATTGCATCTGCATTTTTAGCAGCTGTGTTAACCTGCATATTCAGCTTGTCATCAATTATGATTTCAAGATCATTTTCACATCTACTGTTGCCAAACCAGATATCCCCTCCATCCTTTGTTTGTTACTTTGCTTTATTTTTCCTAAAACAAGAACTTCATATTTTTCCAATCGATTTCCAATTTCCAATCAATTTTTTCTAATTTATTGTTTTGGATCTTGTTTCTGTCTTCTGGATTATTAACCCATCTCTTTATCCCTGTCAAAGATTATTCAGATAAAATCTGCTAGTATATAAAACTGATTGAAGTCCTTTGTTCTCTTTAACTAAGAATACTTGGTGTTTTTATATGAGGCTGAATGCAGAGAGTTTTATGAAATTGTGCTGTGAAATTGAAAGATTATTAAAAGCAATTTATGAATTTTGTCTTGTTTAACAATTTGGGATTTACTCAAGAAACAGGGGAATGGGAGAGATATGGAGCAAATTCAGTTGCAATTCCTGTTTAAAATATGTGTATGGAGAAATGTGGAGATGCTCAATAGCATATTCCAGTTGTGGCTAACCTTTTTGGGCTTCTGTGCCCAAAATGTTGTGCTCGCTTGCATGCCAGCACCCAGAAGGCAATGCGCACGCACCCCCCCCCCCCCCCCTCCCCCAACTGCCCCCTTACCTGCACTGTGCCTCCCAGCTTCCGGTATTTCTGGAAATACAGGACGTGATGAAACAGGCCTATTTTTCGGCCTGCAAAGGCTGCAGAGGCTTCCCTCAAGCCTCTGGGAGGCCGAAAAAGGCCTCAAACGGGCCAGAAATCAGCTGGGAGGCACGCACATGTGCAGTGAGGTAAGTTTGCCTGGGGCTCACGTGCCTGCACAAATGGCTCTGCATGCCACCTGTGGCACGCATGCCATAGGTTCGCCATCACGGGCATAGTCTGTAATTATTTGCTGATTAATAAAGAAGAGCAAAATTGCTCATGGGTATTTGGTTTTTCCCACAGTGGAAGTAGAAATGGGAGACTGGCAAGAAGTTTGGGACGAAAACACAGGCTGCTATTATTACTGGAACATACAAACGAATGAAGTTACTTGGGAACTACCTCAGTATCTTGCAACACAAGTCCAGAATCTCCAACATTACCAACACAGGTAAAATTAAAGAAGTGAATAATTTCTGAAGTTAATTTGGATTTGTTTTTTTAAGCTAAACTTTTACTAAAACTGCTCTTTTGTTAGTTCTGCAACAGAGTCTGATGAAAGCTACCAGGTGGCTACAGATATCAGTTCTCAGGGGAAAGGTGGAGGTGGTACTAGTAGTACCATTGCTGCTCCTGCTGCTGGTAATATTGGACGTAGGACAATTCTTTCAAAACGTGAGCTGAGAAAGGTCAGTGTCAATTTGAATAAACCCTTTCCATAAAAAGTGTCCGCTGTTTTGTTCTTTCCTCAAGATTGTATATATGTCTGATTTCTTTTTTCAGATCAAGAATGGATAGTTCACACTTTGGAGTACTTAATATTGTAGAATATCAACTTAACATAAACTAGGTTGCTAAGAATTTATAGCTAAATGTTACATGCTATCACGTTAACAAATTCTGTGATGCCATGACCCTAAAATGTTAACATGAATTTCTGTGATTTCCCCAACAGAAATGATTTCATTGGGGTAAGAGTTAAGCAATAAATGAGTATAATACTTCAAATAATAGTATGCATGAGTATATCTTTCCATGAAACTCTTGATAGAACTTTACAACCATAAAAAATAATAATTTGGGAATCTTCTCCAATCATCTTTTTAACAGGAGGGCTGAGCTGCTTGCTTCTGCATCATTTCTGAAATCTGGTTTTAATTTTGAAGTAGCCACTTTCATTCTGTAAAATTGGGAGGGAAAGAAAAATACTTCATCTTAAATCAGCTTCTCTTAAACTGTTCTTTAAGCGTTGCAATGTGCAAAAGATTGGTAGGCTGCAAGTTGGTTTTGTCACTTTCCAATACAGGCCTACTGAAATAATAGTTATTAACTTGATATATTCAAACATTTTAAGAAACTGTTGGTGGAGCTGGGATTCTTAGGTTGCTTTGCATTCTATATTTTTTTATTAAACTAATAAACTTTAGAAAGGTCCTCTGACAAATCCTGTCCGTTTTCAGACACACACACACACACACACACACACACCAGATTTTGAGAAATGCTGGTATACAGATACAACAAGGACTTCACAATTCAGACTCGGTTCCAGTCTTCTTTCCTAGGCCTGCTAAGACTTTTTAGATAAAAGTATTTATTTATTTAATTAGATATTTAATCCACCTTTATTGTTTTTACAAATAACTCAAGGCAGCAAACATATATAATGTTCCTTCCTCCTATTTTCCTCACAACCACCATCCCGTGAAATGAATTGGGCTGAGAGACTGGCCAAGGTTACCCAGCTGGCTTTCATGCCGAAAGTGGGATTAGAATTAGAAATTCTACACTGGTATTTCTGGGTTTTCTGCATTGTTAATCTTCTGACTACATTTTCAAGCTTTGAATGAATATGGTAAAAAGAACACAACTCAATATAGAAATTCAGGAGGGTGATATACTTATTTATTAAATGTACGTCCCCCATCTAACTGTCCAAAGTGACTGGAGAGTGCCGAGAGAGCAGAGTGCCAGAGCTAAATACTGCAAGTGCGGTTTGTGATCTTTGTCTGAAATACTTGATTGTCTCTTTACTGTCAAGTATTCTAGTAGTTCTTAGAATGTGATTTTGAATGTTTTGTCAGGCATAGTTGAAGAAGTTAACATTTGGATGGAAAAATCTTCTTAACTTCACAGGAGGTGAATGAAGGCATCCAGGCACTATCAAGCAGCGAAGAAGAGAAAAAGGGAGTGGCTGCATCTCTGCTGGCTCCTTTGCTTCCTGAGGTAGTGAAGGAGGAAGAGGAGCGCTGGAGGCGGAAGGTTATTTGTAAAGAAGAGGTGGAGCCGTTGATGGAGGACGATGTGACAGCAGAACAAACAAAAGCCATTTCTGATCAGCCGCTGGAAGGTGTTCATGATATTGGGGAAGATCCGTCTCAGGAAGACCTGTGTAGTGTGGTGCAATCAGGAGAAAGTGCAGAGGAAGAAGAAGAGCAGGACACTCTGGAACTGGAAATGGTATTGGAGAGGAAGAAGGTAGGTTATGCAGAAATTATTTTGTCTCAGAGGAAAAGGATGTACTTGGAGATAACTGCATTGAAGGAAAAGCTATAACATCTTTCCATTATTCTACAAAGGGAAATCCCATTTTGGATTAACTTGCTGTTGTGTTATTTGGCATTTAAACAAAATGTGTGTTAGATTTTCCTTCTAGGAGAAAACTGTTATCAATTCTATCTTTTAAGATACAGATCCTTGGCAATAAAATACCAAAAACATATTTAGACCTGTTTCTCCAAATCAAAGATGATACATATTTTTGTGGAAGCTATATATGTATAATGTGCTTTCTTCATTCTACTGAGAGTTTGTGTACTACATTATTATAGTTACTATCCATAGTGGTTAGTTGTTTTACAATTCAACTTGACATTTTAAATATTTTCTCTTCTATAGAAAATCAAATTCCTGGTTGGAAAAAAAAATGTTATACTGATCAAATTCACTGTCTTTGGGGCGGGGGAAGTAATTATAGATTTACAAACAAGTAGTGGATATGGCCAATTAGACAGCAGTTGATACGAAAAGTAAAGTGAGGCTTAGAGCAAAAATAATGAGGAAAATGATTATATAATAGAGTGTTCTGCACATACAGTCTTTAATTATTGAAGGCAGGAGCAATGAATGAATGAATTCTCCAATACTAAAATGTTTCATTTTTATAGGCAGAATTACGAGCTTTGGAAGAAGGTGATGGGAGTGTTTCAGGCTCCAGTCCACTTTCTGATGCAAGTCAATCAGATCTAACACGGCGGTTGTTACCAAAGCAAGGGAAATGGAAGCTGTTTGGAGTTGCTAGTCCTGAATCCACCAGCCGAGGGTCTAGCAAAACAGGCCAAGAGAGTCCTGAGCCTGGAGAAACTGGTAAGATTCTTTTCAGATCTTTGGTTAATCTTAGTTGCTTATGTCTGTTCCAAATTATTCTGAAAGAAAGATGTTTAAGGAAAGATAGGGAATTCTTAAATTGGGCAGAGGGAATGCTTGGGGAAGAATAACAGCAGTAAGAATCCTCCCAAAAGATAGAGGAATATCTAGCACAGAAATGGAAGAACCTCTCAATTCTTTTTCTTACTCTTTTTCCCAAGGAAATCTGTTTAAAGGGACTCAAACACAGTCAGACAGCACCTCAAAGGAACTTGCAAATGTTATTTTTGTACGTATGTGAACTTTGCAGAATCATGGAGAACAGGCTACCAACGTTCCAGAGCAGTAGAAAAGGGCAGATTTTGTACATACATTTTTTTAAAAAAGGAAGGGAAACATAGTTATTTACATGTCATCTTGAAATTGGTACCAAGCAAACTCTGGGACATATTACTGAAATATTCAGCTTGTAAACATTTATTAAAACATGTATTACTTTGCAAAAGCTAACTTTGGTACTAATTTCCTTTCCCCAGCAAGTTAGTTGACCAGTGGAATGCATTGGGCAGAGTCTTGACTTCAGTAAAACATTTGTCAAAGTTTCTATGCTACTTTTAGATAGATATACAGATGCTTGAACAATAGTATCCCATGAGCATTTTTCAAGCTGGAGAGAAATACCCAATGCTATACTTCAGGGCTCCATTCTAGGTCCTGTGCTCTTCAGAGTTAAATATGCGATCATCACATTTGCAGACAACACAAGATTGAGGGAATAACAGCCACCTTAGAGAATACAGTCAAGATTTTGATAGGCTGGAATAATAAGCAGAAGTAAACAAGCTTCAGGGAAATCAAACATTGCAGTTGTTTTCAAATATCAAAAAGGTTGTTTAAGGTTCTAGTCATTTCAGAAGATAGGACAAGAAAGAACTGGTTTAAATTACAAGGACGTAATTTACATTCTTTGGTTCTGTGATCCTTATATCCTGTGACCGTAGACAATGAAAGTAGAGAATAAGATATATAGTCTCTACTCTTGTTTTCTGTTCAGCCATGAAGGAAGAACCAGAAACAGCTGATGACAGCTTGGGCCATGGACCAGACATGGAAGAATTTCAAGACAAAGTGAAAACACAAGGGGGTTTCAAGGTAGAAGACGAAGAGCAGGACTTAAAGGTGTGTGAGTTAAAATATTATAGTCAAGTACTTAGGTATATCATTTGCAAATCTTGTTTTCCTGACACACAGTGATCATTCATTTTCATATCATTAAGAAGAGTTATACGACCTGAAATTATGCAAGTATTATCATTTACAACCTCAAATTTAAGCACAGAATAAATAAGCCTATCTGAGTGTTTGTAGTGATGTAGCTTATGGACTGAACTTTCTTTTAACCTCTCTGTCTTTTTATGTGTGCATGTGTATTTGTCCTTAAGTCATTGTTGGTACTTAATCTAGTATTGATTATTTCATAGAATACCTCTGAATCTTTTAAATTTTAATTATTTTTAACTGTGCTTTTGGTAATACTTCTAGACATAGTCTGTGCTGCATCCAAAAAAGTTACAGGAATTTTTTTAAAAATGGCATTTGATATGTGAAGGTGTAATGCAAGTTCTAACAAGAAGTAGGCAGTCTTAATAACAGGAAGTATTTATTAATAATGAGAAGCATACAGACTTATCCTTTTATTTAAGCATTTCAGCTTTTGTGACTGTCAATACTGAATAATGAAATAACAGCATTTTTGTGCAAAGTAGGTGAAAAAGTTTGCATTGGACATAATGATTACTTATTTGTACATATTTAAAACTAGATAAGATCTTAAATTATCCCATCATGATAAAATAAAAGTACATGGGCAATAAGATTCAGGACAATACATTTTTAAAAATATTTGGCTAAGATTGATTGGCTCAACTCTGGTCCTCATTAGTCACAATTTTTTTCAGCTGAGATTTACTATTCAGATCATGGATCTTTGTACAGTTCAGAGTCAGCATTGCAATAGTCTTTTATGTTATGACTAACAAACCAAAACTTGACCTCTTGCTTGCTTTACTTTTGGCAGTTTCAGATTGGAGAGCTGGCCAATATGTTGATAAGCAAGCTGGAGTTTTTGGGCATCAGTAGACAGTCGATCTCTAACTTCCACATGCTACTGTTGCAGACTGAGGTAACCAAGGTTTACCTTTTATTAAAAAGAAACAATGGAATATAGGAAGCCATATACATGGAAAGATTGTGGTGTGACAAGAATTTAGGAAGTTCAAGTCCCATGGCATGAATAGCAGTCTCTATTTCTCTTCCCTTGTCCCTTCCTTCCCCACCAGCTTCTGGATTTATTTAAGACAATATTTTATTTGTGGACATAATGTATGTTATGTAATCTTTATAATTCATTACAAGCTTTATCTTTACTGCTGCTTCCTATTCTAGGGGCTTAGCACTGTATAAAATTCTAGAGTTTAGCAGAATATGGAATACATGTGGCCAGTTGTCTGCAAATTTTTCATTATTCTGTGTCTTTATCTCTCTTCGACAGACTCGAATTGCAGATTGGCGGGAAGGTGCTCTCCAAGGAAATTACCTCAAACGCAAATTACAAGATGCAGCTGAACAGCTAAAACAATATGAAATAAACGCCGCCCCTAAAGGCTGGTCCTGCCACTGGGACAGGTACGCACTCTTCTCCCCTTTTCACCTTTCACCTTTGACATCTCAGACATGATTTGTGATCATCACCACCTACCGACCTGCCGTCATCTGTCTGGAGACTGAGAGCAGCTGCACTTAGCGGTGCTGAGCGGGCAAAGAGCCTCTGGCACATACAGATTTTGAGCCAGCCACAAAAATTGGAGAAATATAAAGTCTATGTTAAGTGTATTGAAATGGATTTGATTCCGCGATTGGACAGAGCTGGTGTTTACTCTCGAATGTAAATGCGCTAAGGAGGGCGGGCTTGGGGGGTCGCGCATGCGAGAGCTCTGTGCACATTGCAGGATCTCAGGAACTACGCTCCCAAGTAACGTCTGTGTCCTTATGGAAAGCTCACTGCCTGAGGATCTCAACGAAGAACAAGATAACTATCTCCTGCCAGCAGGTCAGACCAAACTATTTCTTCTTATTTTTGGCTTTCTTGATTATTTTTGTTTATTTGAAATCTTTGCTCTTTTGTTTTTCAGCTCCCAGATCCTCTCCCTCTCAGTAGCCATTCACTATGTCTGACACCAAGAGTATCATACATGTGACTGCAGCAGTCCATGGGAGCAGCCATCTTTCATAAATTGGGCTGTTTCTCTTTTGCTATTCTGGAAGGAAATGAATCCTGAGACTACCCTTAAAGTCTATTTCCTCACACAGCCTTTAAAAATTTCAATTCAGCCGCAAGCGAGTTGTTTCGCTCACCCCCTACTCTTGGAGCAAGGGGGTCAGGGCTTTGATCACAGAGCCAGCACCACAAACAGTTTGGAGCAAGCTGACCTTGCCAATTCTTCCTCAAAGCTGTTTGTTGCCTTTGTGAACAGCAGTCCTTTTATAAGAGGTTCTTCCTGTGAGAGCACTCCACTGTCGCAGGATAGGACCAGATTATTGTGTCAGTGTGGGGGGTGAGGAGAGTAAAGCTTTGTTTTCTTTCTTGTGATTTAGGGATCATAGACGCTATTTCTATGTTAACGAGCAGTCAGGAGAATCCCAGTGGGAGTTCCCAGATGGGGAGGAGGAGGAGGAAGGACAAATCCTAGAGAATAAAGCAGAAGCTCTTCCCAAACAAGCATTGAAGGAGAAAACTGAGTCTGGTGAGGAATCTACTGATAATGCTACAGGTACACTCCTGGATGTTTTGCTGAAGAAAACTAATTGGGGGTGACCGTTTTTAGAGAGGGGACCGACCATATTTAACACAGAAGGGTAGTTGCTTAAGGACAAGTATGCCTAAGTATTCATCCGTACATTCAAAGCTAAACTGAAATAAGAATGCATAATGTATAATATTCCTTTGTATGTAAACTAGGATATCATTTTCATCATTGTTCATGCATCATACATATCTCCATCAGATATATACGAAGCCCGATTTCTTTCTGCTGGAATTCTGTCAGTTTAATTTTAGAGTTTGGGCACTGGTTATTTGGAGGTTTTTTTTAATATTGGAGGTGAAGAAGCTCACACAAAAACAGTACATGCTCATATATTAAAGCAAAGGAAACTGGACAAGACTATGTAGTCACTGGAAAACCCAAGAAAAATGAAATAGCAATATCACATTACCAGTTTGACAGATATTGCATCAGTTTAAAGACTAAAGTGGGGAAGATTTTAATTTTGAAACTGGAAAGAAGATAAGATATCTCCATATATGCCTCCATCTGCACTCCAAATAAAAATAAAGAACAATTTTTAAAAGATTTTTTTCCATGTGTTAACAGAAATGAAACAAGGTGAAATATTTATCCCCGTAAATCTATGTGGAGAGTTAGATTTGAATTTGGACAAATTATTTCAAGGAGAGAAAGGTGAAAAGCTTTCAGAAAAGGTATTCCAATATATAGATGAATTGGCATTGATAGGAGTCTGTAAATTCCAACAGAGATACTTTCTACTGCTGAACAAGACATCAGTTGTACTCCAGAATGGTTATGTCCCAAGGTTCCAAAATCATCCATTAAAGAAGTACAGATTCTTGCAATGATATATGCTGATCATGATCCAGTTCTAATAACATTGCATTCTGGGGAAAAAATTCTGTCAAATGGAAGATGAGTAATACAATTGCTACTCCATGACAAGATCCTACAGATTTTATTTTATTTTATTTTATTTGTATCCTGCCTTTATTATTTTTACAGATAACGTGGTGAACGTATCCAACATACTTCCTCTTCCTATTTTCCCCAAAGCAACAACCCTGTGAGGAGGGTTGGGCTAAGAGAGAATGATTAGTCCAAAGTCAGCCAATTGATTTTCATGGCTAAGGCAGGACTTAATATCTCCTGCTTTCCCACTATGCAAAATGCAAAAAGGAATTGAAAATTTTCTTCAAAATAAACAGAACACCAGGAATCTCAGATGCTATCATTTGGGAGATAAGCAAAGCCTGAATTAGCAACTAATCCAAAAAGAGAACAGACAAAACAACTAGATGCCAATATTAGAGAATTGGAACAAAGGCATAGAACTGCAAAACACATAATCCAAAAGAAAAACTGCTGATGAAATAATTGCAACAATTAAGTTTATTGGAAATGGGAGAACTACAAAAGAAGATTAAAAAGAAATTTTGAACATGTAAATAAATCAGGGAAATTTGTATCAGGTTAGAAAAAAAAATTATCAGCAACAAAGAAAGGGGTTAAATTACTGCAGACATAATTAGAAATTATAGAAGAATTAGCAGTTTTTTCCCAAAAGACTATATTCAACAACTAACTGTGAAGTTGCTGTGAATAAATACACTGAAATGTCTGAATTTTGATCACATGAGCATCAGATGCAGCAGTGGTTGTGAGTGTGAAAAATGGTCATAAGTCTTTTCATTGCCATTGTAACAATCAATAAATGAACTGTTGTAAGATGAGTATGTCAGAAAACAAAGAAGTTAGAAATTAAATATGATGTTTTTGGTCAGTTTCCCCCCTTTTTAATAGTATCATTGAATAACCAAATAGTGGAAACTGACAGAGATTCAAAAGGTCTTTAAAATTATTGACAAAAATAACTTAATGTATTTTGTCTTTCTGCTTAATTTTTCATCAACAATATATTGTGCATTAACTAGACAACTTCAATAACTTTGTCCACTTATCAATATATTACCTCAGCATCAACTTTTTTTCATTTTCTCTTCTTTCTTTAAAAAATAATTAAAGAAGAAGTAGGTTTGCCATTGGCAAAAATTCCCATAAAATGATAGCAGAAAGCAATAAAATGTCCAGGCAAACTAGATAAAACTTTTATATATGACTTTTTTCTTTCAGGTACTGTTTCTAAAGAATCACTTTCTAGTCAAGCCGGAGCTACTTCTCTGGTGCCTCTCAGTCCATTTTGGACTGTTCTTCAGCCCTCTGTCCCAGTACTGCAACCCCCTTTACCTTTAGAAATGCCCCCACCCCCACCACCCCCTCCAGAATCACCTCCACCACCCCCTCCCCCTCCACCACCTCCTGGAGAAGATGGAGAAATACAAGAAGTAGAAATGGAAGATGAGGGAGATGAAGAGCCACCAGCACCAGGAACAGAGGAAGATGCTATTATAAAGCCTCTCCTTCGACCAGCTGTTGCCAACAGTCAGGTGAATTAATAGTTCTTGGAGCAGGAATTATGTCTGTCTTGCTTCAGACAAGGTTCTCCACTTTGAAACCAATTTGACCTCTGTCATTTTTAATGTATGGTCTTCCCAAAGCCATATCAGGAAGTAAATTCAATTTTCATCAGCTATGTATACAAAATGAATTATGTAAATGATGTTGCTGCATTGAGCAAGACTTTTGAATTGGTATATACTTTGTTATGAAAAAGAATATATATTTTTTTCTAAGAAATGATATGAATGTTGGAGGAAGAGCTTGGGTTCATGCTATTCAGGGCTTAGAAGGAGCATTTGTGTGTTAAGGAGATGAACTCAAATTTAAATGTTGTTATCAATTCAATGCATTTATTCATAGCATGTTTATTTTATAGCTCGCCCATTATTAAAAACAATGCTAAAGTAGGTTGTGTTTAAAATTAATTTACAAAATGTTAAAACAATTTAAATGTTTAAATTGTTGACAAAATTTGTCCTTTCTATATTTAAAATAAATAAAACAGTTAAAACACAGTAGTACAGAGCATAAATAACAAAATGGTCTCTAACAAATCACTGGTACAAGTAACACTCTCAAGGGATATTCCTATTAAACCTTAATTGATGAGCAAGTACAAAACAGGTATGGAACAGCTGTTCCATAAAGTATCCAACTATTAACCCATGATGCTTTTTATGTTAATATAAGTATCTTGAACTTAGCATAATAGCAAATTGGCAGCAGTTACAGTGCCTTTAGAATGGGTGAACTATAGTTAGCAATTGAGCTTAGGCATTTTGTTCTGGCTACTGCTTTTCCCCTGACCGTAAGGGTAATCCTGTAGACAATAGTACAGTAATTCAATCATAATACCAACATTTCTGTTTGTTGAGATTCTCAACGATCCAGGTTGCTGTTGTCTCAAAGGTGCTTTTTCAAAAGGCAGCTGGACTCTTCTGTTTGTAATAGTTGAAAGTGTCATATGGTGATGTGTCTATTGTTTCAGGTAGCTGCTTTTCACAATTGTATTAAGAATTATGGTAATTGTTTGTTAAAGGCTTGTATGATTCACAAGCCTCAAACTGACTGACTTCTGTCTGTTTCCAGACCAACTCTGAGACCAGCATATCCACAACTTCCGCTAAACCTTTAAAAAGAAAAGCTTCCGAAATGAATGCTGGACAGGTGCAGCGAGCAGCAACTATTGGAAGTTGTCCAGTGCTTTATGGCCAGTCAGTAGTAGGTGGAAGTAAGTTTCATTCCTTAGGTGCTGCTTTGGTTTGATAACTGTGGGGGAGATGTTAGGACATTTCTCATTCTTTATGTTATTGTGTATTCAGGCCAACAAGCCCACGGGGTGAGTTTACAATCAAGTTACCTTGGAGTACCACAGCCAGCTCTCATAGGCTATTCAGACTGTAGTGCCTCAGGAGGACTTCCTGCCAGCACGACACAGCCAGTTCCTTCACTAGGAGCTGCACCTGCCACTGCAGAACATCTGCCACCACCACCACCACCACCTCCTCCTCCTCCTCCTCAGTCATCACCTCCACATGTCCCAAAGTCATTACCTCTGGAGAAATCAAAAAAGCTTAGAAGAGGTAGCAAGGTTAGTGCATAAGTTTGAATTTTCTGTCGTTGAATGGATGCATTCTATGTCAATAGAAATGTGTGTTATTTTACTAAGCTAATCTTATTACTTGTTCATTGGGTAAAATGACCCAAATTATGATGCTGACTCTGTAAACTGCTTAGAGAGAGCTGTAAAGCACTATAAAACAGTATATAAGTCAAAGTGCTATTGCTATTTCATACAGGTAACTTGGTTGTTGGTTTTAGGATATTGTTTTTTTAAAATGTACTGAGAAAATAGTGTCCTGGCATGAGAGCTAACATCCTGGGGGGTCCAATCTCAGTCATCTTGGAGATACTAGCCCGGTGCTCAGAATTTCTGATTTTGGGGGGTTTGAAACAAACATATTGTGTGTCTATGTGTCTGTGAATCAGCAATGTAGAATTAATTAGCTGGGTGTTGGGTAATCTCTTGTTTACTTTGACTGGATCAGTTTCCCTTTTTTGATCTCGAAGGTGGATAGGCAGTGTTATCCAGTGTTTAGTATGTTCCACCACTTTTCCTCTTGATCCTTATCCAGAATGGCTTGTAACTTTTAGCCAGAAAGTTATTAAAGATATCTTAGTCATAAATGTCTGATGACCTTCTGAAGTGACTCTGTTTACAGAGGGCATCATCAGCCTTTTCTGAAGAGACTATCATTGGCTCTCTTGGACATAAGCCTTTGTCCAGGCTGAGGTGACAAATAGCTCCCCACTATGGGCTGTCCTTGAGGAAGCAACTTATCTTGTTCCAGTCCAAACTGGCTTCAGATTAGGACACAGAATAGAGACAATCTGGATTGTCCTATGATGACAGAGGGAATTCTCGACCTCTCAATGGCTTTTGTTCTCATCTACCATAGTATTCTTCTAGATCATTTGGACTATTCTGGAGGTCATTTGACAATGAAAGCAAAGGGGAGATCTCATTATTTCATTTCAACATCTTCCTGTCCTGGGAAAATTCAAAGAGACACACCTATCCTGAAAGCATTACACAGGCTACAATTTATTTATGGATGAGAAATCAACGGCTGATTATTTTCTTAAAAGCCAGGGATGTGCAGAAAACAATCTTTTTTTTTTCCAGTTATCAGTGTTTTAATGATACAAACTTTCCAAAGCAGATTAGAATTAGGGAACATCTAAGAGGAAATAAATAGTTTTTATGTTTGTGAATATTTTGTTACAGAGGAAAAAAAACAAGACAAAGATGCCATCTCTGGTGAAGAAGTGGCAGAGTATTCAACGGGAATTGGATGAGGAGGAGAACTCCAGCTCTAGTGATGAAGATCGGGAAGTGATGTCACAGAAGCGAATCGAAGAATGGAAACAGCAGCAATTAATCAGGTATGTAGACGCTTGCATGATACATCTGCCACCCAACTGCATGCATCCTAAAATATTTTGATTCAGTTCAATTTTTCCTAACTTGGGACATCTGTTATTTCGTGTGGTATTATCATCAAAAATGGAGGATGATTTTGTGTTTAAATTGCTTTTCAACATACTGTGTTATTTAACAAAACAATATGCACTGTATGCAAGAAATGTTCATTACTTAAGATATGTTTTTTCATAAATTGGTGATACTTAGAAAAATATTCTTCCAATTTTAGATCTTATATTCTGCAGTTTCTTTTTTATTATTGTAATATTCCTTTTTATTCTTTTTACAGTGGAATGGCAGAAAGAAATGCCAATTTTGAGGCTTTGCCTGAAGACTGGAGGGCTCGACTCAAGAGGCGGAAAAACACTTCAAACACATGAGCTTTTTTAACCATATCTGTACAGTTCAGAACCTTTTATTGTTGGATCTGTTGTAACTTTGAAGATACTTATTTCAGTTCAATTACCTGAGAGAGAATTTTGTTGGATTTGGGAATCTTTTGGAGATATACTTTGGCAAATAGGCCTGTGAAATGATGGTTAGGCTTGATACTTTGTTAAGCAGCTCCCATTTCAGACACCTGACATACCATTCTGTCTAATTCCCTGGTGGAATGGATAACAATAACTGATTGATGCACTTTGGCTGGTTCCATTTCTTACTCCACATTTCTGCTCTTGCTTTCTCAAGTACTGTAATGTGTCTAGCTGTAATTTGCCACTTAGATCAAACAGCATTTCAGAATTTGAATCCCTTGTTTCATTCCTGGTTTTGCCAACACTTCTGTTTGGCAAAATTATGCGTTTTTCTCCCCTGGGCATTTTCATTAATGGTATTAAAATAATCTTCCTATTTTTCCTGCTCTAACATCCTACTAGTTTCACTGGTATAGTTAAAAGAAGATGGAAAATCCCTTTTATGTAGCTGCCATATTGAGCACTCTTTGAATTGAAGGGGGCTCCCATGTTTTTACTGTTGGATATTCAGAGGGAAGGAGCCAAGTGACTCGTTTGTATAAAAAGCTGCTGGCTTGCTATTCTATTGCTGGCCAATCACTAAAGTGAGTGGCCTGCATAGTCCTGGATCAGTTGCAATATAGTGCCCTCCCATAAAGACCTGCATTTATATGCTACTCTGTGTTTAAGCCCTATCTGATTGGCTGCCAGTTGATCGATATCTGCTAGAGGAGTGGGGAAAATTTTTTTCAGTATTTAATTCTTAAGTCCATGTCATTGAATTCCAGAAGAAGTACTGTGTTTAAAGGCAGGCTGAATATTTATTCAACCTATGAATGTCTGAGTTAATTCTCCGTTTGCTTTTTAAAAATCTAAATCAAGTGATAATGATTTTCTGTAAAATGAAAGAAAGGATGGTTTATGGTTGAATGCCATTTGTATTTCTCCAGTTTATGGCTATGTAAATTTGTACATACACATTAATAAAAACTTTTTTTATACTTCAGAACTATTTTTTTATGCTAGCTTGAGCCCATTGTCAGTAAAAATGATAGTTACCTAGCAAGTATATACCTTATATGAAAACTGCAAAATTACCTTTCTGCAAATATGCATACCTCAAGACAACAATGGATAGTATATATATCAGCATCAATGGTAGATCTTTCACTGATTTTTAGATCTGAAATAAATAGCATAATTGAACACCTTAAAAAAGATCTTAATTAGCTTGCTGGATTATTACGATAAATAATCATTAGCATTTTATATTTCATTTTAAAGGTATAAAGGATTTATTATGATTATGTGCTGTGAAATCAGTGTCTACTTAATCACTCCATGGACAGATTGTTCTCTATGACCATTTGTTCCTAGCCTGGCCCAATAGTTCTTTCAATGATAACATCTATTGCCACTATAACTGAGTCCATTCACCTTCCTGTTGATTGTCCTCTTCTTTTTCTTTCATTTTCCCCAGCATTAAGAGTTCTCCAGAGAGATAATTCTTTGCACAATGTGTTCAAAGTAAGATAACTTGAACAGGGTCATTTCTGCCTTGAGTTTAAATTCTGGGTTGATGATCCATGTGTTTTCTTGGTTGTCAATAGTATTCTCATGAGTCTTCTCCAATACCAAAGTTAAACAGTGCCATATTCTTTATAATATTCTGCTTCTTCACAGTCTTTCACTTCCATAGAATGTTGTAGAGAATACCATAATTTGCACTACTCCAATCTTTGTAAGTAAAGAGACATAATGATATTTGAATATCTTTTTCAGTGCCTTCATGCTGTTAAGCACTAGTCTTTAGCATACTTCTTGACTGCTAGTAGATCACAACATTAGGCAACATGAAAAGATGCTTATTGGTCTTAACATGAGCAGCTGTGGGGCACTCTGA